TTTTCACATTAGAAGAATTTTTTACGTACAACACTTCACAACATACAAATAAATAAACTTTTAACAACAGACACTAAAAAGAAAGTACAAAGATTTCTGCGAAGTGTTAACTATGCGTGTAATATACACACATTCCATTTATTCGAAGTTCACATCGTCAATAATAAAAATACAACAAAATAAATAACAGCTAAGTCACCTACATACGCATCAAAGAGAAAAATAACAAATAAGTGCTTGAATGAAAGAAATAAAAAATGGTTGCTTTAGTAAATTTTTCAAACTCTCATTCTAATGAATATTCCTAATATGATCTAACAAATGGAAGGAGTCTAAACAACATGGCGCTGATATAGAAATATCTAGTGTATTTTGCAATAAGATACTTTGGTTTGGTGTTTACATAGTTTTTAATATGAAATCATCAAAATCAATAAACGCGTGAGTCCGTAATATTTCACTTTACACATTCACAACTACCAAGCGTACACCACTGGTGTATATGTGGGGTGGTCGCCTTGAGTTTGCCATCGTGCATTATGGTAGTTACATGGCGGAAGCTGTGGTCGCGTAAAAGAAATTGTGGTTAAAAGAGCGGTAGATAAAAGTGTTATAAGTATGTTTATATTCGCCTATATAATATAATGCTTAAAGTTCGTTGAGTACTATGGGAATGTAGTTTAACCACCGGTTACACCTATTTAGAATAACCGAGAATATATTGCAATGGATGTTCAAGATTTGCCAAGTTTGGTATATGTGATTTCTAGTCATGTCCTGGGCTAGAATATCTGGGGTTGTCCTGAGATAGAATGATCTAGAGTGGACTAATACAGAAGAATCGAGAATGTTCTGAATTATTCGAGAACCATACGTACATATTTCGACCAAAGTGTTTTATATAATATTTGGAATCTCCTATGAAATGTTGGGGTTCACCATCGGACACCAAACACTCGCTTAGAATATAAGTGTACTTGAATGTTTCTAACGTTGTTCTCAGTTAGAATGTCCTCGACTATCTAGGATTGTGTTTAAGTAGAATGTTCCAAGGTGAGTTGGACCGGAAGAATCGAGAAAAATCTGAAACGTTCAAGATAGCCTTTGACATTGTATTAGAATATTTTATAAATATTTCGACCAAAGAATTCTAAAAAACCTTTAGAATCTCTTATAATGCTCATGATTTGCCACGTTTGGTTTATGTGGCTTCCAGTTATATCCTCAACTAGAATGTTTTGAAATATCTGGGATTGTCTTGAGACAAAATGTTCTAGAGTAAACTGATATGGAAAAATCGAAAATGTTCTGAGCTGTTCGAGAACCATACGTAAAATACGTTAAATAATGCTTGGAATTTTGTTAGGTTTGGAGTGTGTGAGTTTATGGGTTGACCATCGGCCACCAAACACTTCGTTTAGACAGTAGCGGTGTTAGGGTAGGGCGCGGTTGGGCGATCGCCCAGGGCGCCGGACAAAAGGGGCGCCGCAGGCGCCCTCCACCTCATTCTCAAAATTAAGCGGACGGAAGCCCTAAATTAAGTGGATTTTTTTTATGTTGGCAACACTTGAACGGAACGTAATCCGTTCGATCGGAGTTTATTTTACAGGGAATCCCCAATCAAAGAAAAACACATTGTCTATCTCCTTTTTGCCCGATCAAAATGTGGTTACACCTATTTTTGTTTTAAATTTCATCAAAGATCGCTACTTACAAGAACTGTATCCAAATGTATGGATAGCATTGCGAATATTACTGACTATACCTGTAACGGTTGCTAGCGGGGAGCGGAGTTTTTCAAAGCTGAAGCTGATAAAAACCTATCTTCGATCAACAATATCTCAATCTAGATTGACAAACTTAGCAACTTTGTCAATTGAAAACGAAATTGCTGAAAACATAGACTTTGATAACCTTATAAAAGAGTTTGCTGATAGAAAGGCCAGAAAAGTAAAATTTTATTAGTTTGTTTCTAATAAATGGTTATTTTTTATAATAAATAATTATTTGTTTTAATAAATGGTTATTTCATTATATGCTTTCCCTTTTTTCCTATGGGTTTGAATTGTAGTTGGAGGGCGCCGTAGAAATCTCGCCCAGGGCGCTGGTAATGGTAAAACCGGCACTGCGTTTAGAATAAGTGTTCTTGATTGTTTCTGGCGTTGTTCTCAGCTGGAACGTCCTAGGACTGTCTCCAAGAGCAATGTTCCAGAGAGAACTGGACCGGAAGAATCAAAAAAAAAATTTTGGAATCTTCCCGATCAACATATTATGTGTGAGTAGTACAGCTGACTTTTGACGCAACTATACCAGGGCATTCCCATACATTTTCGACCATTGTCAAAAAAATACTAGGAAACTCGTATAATGATCCAGATTTTTCCAACCCGATGTTCGATCACGTTTGGAAGTTGACCACTAAACTGCTGTTTGGAACAAGGAAAAATGTTAATCCAGTCTTCGGATAGTATTCAAATTAATGAAAACTACCTCATCGTTCCAACTTTGGGGAAAGCAGTATGAAGAAAAAACAGGTTTAAAATAAAAAAATAATTTAATTTTCACATTAGAAGAATTTTTTACGTACAACACTTCACAACATACAAATAAATAAACTTTTAACAACAGACACTAAAAAGAAAGTACAAAGATTTCTGCGAAGTGTTAACTATGCGTGTAATATACACACATTCCATTTATTCGAAGTTCACATCGTCAATAATAAAAATACAACAAAATAAATAACAGCTAAGTCACCTACATACGCATCAAAGAGAAAAATAACAAATAAGTTATCATTTCGCTAGATTTTTTTAAATAAATATATATTAATCTACTATTAATAAAATCGTAGTCATTGCAACAATACGTAACTTTTAATTAACGTCACAAGTAATTTTTTTTATGATCATACAGGAGATGAATCATCTTTTAACATTTTAACATTTGGAAAGTTTGTAATACTAATAAGCAAAAAAGGATTAATAAACATACATTAGTCTAATAGCGCATCAGATTCGCACTCGGCAGTGTAATTAATTGGAATATATGGCGAAGTTATTTCTAAAAATCTTTCGAATGGGCAAAGTTCCTCACACTGCGGAAGCTTCTGCAAGCGAGGTTCCGAGCTGATGTGCTTCGCATAGTAAATCTGTAGACAAGAGGAAAGGGATTGTGAAATGGCAATTTTCGATCTTTTTTAATGGAAAGTTCAAATAAAAAATCAACAATAAAATAATGTATCTCTCTAATGTATAAGTTCTATCAAATATATTAAGTATCAGTATTATTAAAGACAGGACAACTTTTGAGATAGATATGCAAAATCTGTAAATAGACAGAAAAGGTTAGGAATGAGAAGGTTTTGGAATAAGTAGGAGAACGGGTTGCACCATAGATGTCAATAANGTCCAATAGAAATTCACATACATACATTCATATATGCTATATACCTACATAAAGTATTATCCTTAAAAAACCATAATTTTTCTCCGATGATATTTATATCGTAAAAAGTGGGTCAATTAATTCGAAAACACTGCGATAATGAATAGAAATGAGTCGTTAGAACGTCTACCGCCTCTAAAAGAAATATAAAATCATTTCCCTCTGGTCTTGAAGAAGACATGAAAAGAAATGAAATTATTTATAGGTTATAATGATGAAAGCCCTATTTTTTTTTTGTTTTTACGTACTTACGGCTACAACACAATATTTTATTGAACATATTAAAAGATTGTAGCGAAAGTAAACGAGTTGGTAACGATTAAAAAATATATCACATTTTTATAAGAAATAAACAGTTAACGTCTAGGGATTAATATCTTACTTTACAGACGAAACTTAATTAAGAATAACCATAAATCCTTTTATTACGACAATCAAGCTCACTAAAAGCAAATTTATCATTGAATTAAAATGAAACGATTCAAAAGTGTAATATAAGCTGTGGGGATTACTGAATTTTATTGTTGGAAGAAACTGAAAACCTAGGCAGAATTTCCTTACTAAATTCATTGGACACTTGGTGATAAATTTTCCTCCGCTATCGCAAGCGCTAACTGACTAAACACACATACCTACTCGTGACCTTCGCAACAGCTAGCACGCGGATTGGTCAGTTGCACGTGTGACGATTAGTAACAGTCTGCACTCCATGATTACTGCTATTGCAACAAAATACAAAAATAAGTTGCATGTGAAAATATCAAACAAAGAACAAAGTATTCGCAGACAGAAGAAGTTTGGTAGTGCGCCGAAGGGGTGAAGACCAGAAGACGTCCACTGGGCATTGACGAAATGGTTTTGAGATTAATTAAAAATGGTTCCGGTATCAGTACCCGAGTCATTGTACGACACGTACCTTCTTCTCCTTAAATTTTTCTGGAGTAATGATCAGACCTTGTTTATTTCACCTGAGATGCTTCTCATACCATATAGCACATTAAGTCAATGGGGACATAAAAACCGGTGAAAAATTAATAAAACTGGCGTTTGTCTAAACTCACCAAATAATCCTAACATTCTAAATATTTATACATTTAGATAATATTAGGCACTCTGTTTGTCCCGTTTTTGCAGTTACTTAAAGCACATCTGGCCATAGCATAGTGATCAGGAAGACACCAGTTCGATTCCAGGTCCTCCTTTCTTGGTCCAAGCTTTTCTAATTTCCTTGGATTATTTAGGTAAATGCTGCGATACCAGCACTCCACAGACATTTATTTACTTACAACCTGTCCTCATTTTGCCCGTTTCATTGGTCTTTCACAAACTACCCACCCATCCATATTTATGATTCCTAAAGGGGGCTGAAGAGGCCCCGTCCACCCTATTATCTGGCTTTCTAGTAGAATTGATGCTGGATACATATCAGGGTGTATCTGAAAATGTTGAGGAGCTTTGGAGAATATCAACTAGATACAATAAGGAATCACATGAATTTCGTCAAAATTGTCATGTTTCATGTATAAAGTTGATGGGTTATGTCAACTTTACAGGTAAAAGAAGACTGGAAGTACGTTGCAATGGTACTGGATCGCCTTTTCCTTTGGATCTTCACTCTTGCAGTGCTCGTGGGCACTGCAGGTATCATCCTCCAAGCGCCCACCCTTTACGACGATCGAATTCCTATTGACAAGAAGTTTTCCGAATTCGCCACCACAACAGTTGTTCGATGCCCTCCACAACAGTAATCGTTCATCATTATCATTTGCCTTAAATCATCGACGATACTCATCATATCAGCTCGCATTTTTGAAACTAATCATAGGGTTTTATATTCAACAGCAGTTACCAAAAGTTACGGAAAGAAGATGATAACGATAATGACGATAATAATTATAATAAAAATAATGGAAATTGTTTAATTGAAATGCATGTACTTTAATGCTCTAACTGTAAAGTGTGCTCACTAGGGTTAATAATATGTATAGTTTTTAAAACTGTGTTCATTAAGGAAAACAATTCCCATGAGTTTTCACGAATCAAGTCAGCTGCGCCAATTTCATAATGGTACCCACCTTTAAGCCAAATTAATAACGTAGTCTATCTCATACCTTTATCTTCAGTCCCACAGTATGCTCAAATGAACGATTTCAAAGAAAGTACAAATGCAGATGATTAAAGAACATTTGTTGTAATAGTCAGAGCAAATAGCTATCTTTGGGGGTGGGGGTGCATTCCAATCCAATAGGCAATAAATTCGTAAAGGTACAGGTAGCAAAAGTACCTCCCCAAACTCATCTATTGCTGATCTCTGTGGGACCAGCCACATTACCATGGAAAGCAAAGCAGTTACTGCAGTAGATTGACTTTAAATTAAAAAAACTCACAACAATTATTTTAGCAATCATAAAATTTAACCATGTCTACCATCTGCGCATTTTCGCACCCAGTTGTTTGCAATCATCTCCACTGATATCTACTCCTAACTGTACCACTGTATAAAGATTATGTACAGTAGGTTCACTCAGTTGATCTACCTAAAATATCAACATTTTTTGCAGGCCATCATAGATTAGCTTTATGTCCACTGAACTGTCCTATAAGAGGACGGTTCAATAGATTTATCGAAGTGTTTAAATACAAAATGAATTTGTACTGTAACTTTACGGTGACACTCTGTATAAGTCAGACCCTCCTTAACGGAAAGTCGTAGATCAAGTGATGAAGCGTCGGCAGGCGAGGGAGGTATGGGCGTGGTTGGGAAGTGAACCTACTGTGTAGAATCTTTTTGCTGTGACAGTACTTTATGTCAGTAATAACGTGGTTGTCTTGACTTGTGAAACATTTTATAGATACATCATTAATTTTTAACGAAAATTATATTCGATATGATAAATAACTGTACCTATTAATCGCCACTTGGCAGTTGACGTATGTAGATTGGAGAGGAAACATTTTTTTATCGAAGCTAGAGAAAATATTATACGAACACATTTACTTATTTAAAATGTTATTTATAAATCTGTTAATAATAAATAAGGTTTTATTCAAACCAAAGTTAGCGTCACAGTTTTTGTACAATACAACGCTAGAAGAAGTGCCTCAGTACGGCCCTGATTCTAGTGAATCCGCTAATGTGACTGAGAAAGTGTTACAATAAATGTGTTTTTCAATGTGAAAAGTATCAATTCGAAATAGTAATACAGTCATTAACAACTGCACATGTGGTTGTAAAAGTCGATTTACTGTAACAAATTAAAGTATTCAAAAAGCTGCCAAATTTTGAAAATCTTTCGTAAGTCTGATTATAAATTGTATTTCTGTGAACATTTTGTTGTTAATCGTTATACTTAATAATAATTATCTCTCTAGTTCGTTTCAACGACCTATGCGTAATAACAATTAGCCTAATCGTAAAATAAAGAACAAAGAAATTGTTATTGGTTTTTGTTAAAAGTGTAATTAATAATAATAAATGAAATTGAAAATAAATAAACAAGTAGAAAAATAAACGATTAAATGTTAAATAGAAGCTATAGAAATAGACTGCAAGTCTGTGGGAACATGTCATGTATATAATATAAAAGTATAATAGGTAATAATTATTAGAGATTAGCAGAATGGTTACAAATACTTATAGAGATTATTATGCATTGTTATATAAACTGTTATTTATAAGTATTAATATTGATTTTGTAAACGTGCTTGAATGAAAGAAATAAAAAATGGTTGCTTTAGTAAATTTTTCAAACTCTCATTCTAATGAATATTCCTAATATGATCTAACAAATGGAAGGAGTCTAAACAACATGGCGCTGATATAGAAATATCTAGTGTATTTTGCAATAAGATACTTTGGTTTGGTGTTTACATAGTTTTTAATATGAAATCATCAAAATCAATAAACGCGTGAGTCCGTAATATTTCACTTTACACATTCACAACTACCAAGCGTACACCACTGGTGTATATGTGGGGTGGTCGCCTTGAGTTTGCCATCGTGCATTATGGTAGTTACATGGCGGAAGCTGTGGTCGCGTAAAAGAAATTGTGGTTAAAAGAGCGGTAGATAAAAGTGTTATAAGTATGTTTATATTCGCCTATATAATATAATGCTTAAAGTTCGTTGAGTACTATGGGAATGTAGTTTAACCACCGGTTACACCTATTTAGAATAACCGAGAATATATTGCAATGGATGTTCAAGATTTGCCAAGTTTGGTATATGTGATTTCTAGTCATGTCCTGGGCTAGAATATCTGGGGTTGTCCTGAGATAGAATGATCTAGAGTGGACTAATACAGAAGAATCGAGAATGTTCTGAATTATTCGAGAACCATACGTACATATTTCGACCAAAGTGTTTTATATAATATTTGGAATCTCCTATGAAATGTTGGGGTTCACCATCGGACACCAAACACTCGCTTAGAATATAAGTGTACTTGAATGTTTCTAACGTTGTTCTCAGTTAGAATGTCCTCGACTATCTAGGATTGTGTTTAAGTAGAATGTTCCAAGGTGAGTTGGACCGGAAGAATCGAGAAAAATCTGAAACGTTCAAGATAGCCTTTGACATTGTATTAGAATATTTTATAAATATTTCGACCAAAGAATTCTAAAAAACCTTTAGAATCTCTTATAATGCTCATGATTTGCCACGTTTGGTTTATGTGGCTTCCAGTTATATCCTCAACTAGAATGTTTTGAAATATCTGGGATTGTCTTGAGACAAAATGTTCTAGAGTAAACTGATATGGAAAAATCGAAAATGTTCTGAGCTGTTCGAGAACCATACGTAAAATACGTTAAATAATGCTTGGAATTTTGTTAGGTTTGGAGTGTGTGAGTTTATGGGTTGACCATCGGCCACCAAACACTTCGTTTAGACAGTAGCGGTGTTAGGGTAGGGCGCGGTTGGGCGATCGCCCAGGGCGCCGGACAAAAGGGGCGCCGCAGGCGCCCTCCACCTCATTCTCAAAATTAAGCGGACGGAAGCCCTAAATTAAGTGGATTTTTTTTATGTTGGCAACACTTGAACGGAACGTAATCCGTTCGATCGGAGTTTATTTTACAGGGAATCCCCAATCAAAGAAAAACACATTGTCTATCTCCTTTTTGCCCGATCAAAATGTGGTTACACCTATTTTTGTTTTAAATTTCATCAAAGATCGCTACTTACAAGAACTGTATCCAAATGTATGGATAGCATTGCGAATATTACTGACTATACCTGTAACGGTTGCTAGCGGGGAGCGGAGTTTTTCAAAGCTGAAGCTGATAAAAACCTATCTTCGATCAACAATATCTCAATCTAGATTGACAAACTTAGCAACTTTGTCAATTGAAAACGAAATTGCTGAAAACATAGACTTTGATAACCTTATAAAAGAGTTTGCTGATAGAAAGGCCAGAAAAGTAAAATTTTATTAGTTTGTTTCTAATAAATGGTTATTTTTTATAATAAATAATTATTTGTTTTAATAAATGGTTATTTCATTATATGCTTTCCCTTTTTTCCTATGGGTTTGAATTGTAGTTGGAGGGCGCCGTAGAAATCTCGCCCAGGGCGCTGGTAATGGTAAAACCGGCACTGCGTTTAGAATAAGTGTTCTTGATTGTTTCTGGCGTTGTTCTCAGCTGGAACGTCCTAGGACTGTCTCCAAGAGCAATGTTCCAGAGAGAACTGGACCGGAAGAATCAAAAAAAAAATTTTGGAATCTTCCCGATCAACATATTATGTGTGAGTAGTACAGCTGACTTTTGACGCAACTATACCAGGGCATTCCCATACATTTTCGACCATTGTCAAAAAAATACTAGGAAACTCGTATAATGATCCAGATTTTTCCAACCCGATGTTCGATCACGTTTGGAAGTTGACCACTAAACTGCTGTTTGGAACAAGGAAAAATGTCTATCCAGTCTTCGGATAGTATTCAAATTAATGAAAACTACCTCATCGTTCCAACTTTGGGGAAAGCAGTATGAAGAAAAAACAGGTTTAAAATAAAAAAATAATTTAATTTTCACATTAGAAGAATTTTTTACGTACAACACTTCACAACATACAAATAAATAAACTTTTAACAACAGACACTAAAAAGAAAGTACAAAGATTTCTGCGAAGTGTTAACTATGCGTGTAATATACACACATTCCATTTATTCGAAGTTCACATCGTCAATAATAAAAATACAACAAAATAAATAACAGCTAAGTCACCTACATACGCATCAAAGAGAAAAATAACAAATAAGTTATCATTTCGCTAGATTTTTTTAAATAAATATATATTAATCTACTATTAATAAAATCGTAGTCATTGCAACAATACGTAACTTTTAATTAACGTCACAAGTAATTTTTTTTATGATCATACAGGAGATGAATCATCTTTTAACATTTTAACATTTGGAAAGTTTGTAATACTAATAAGCAAAAAAGGATTAATAAACATACATTAGTCTAATAGCGCATCAGATTCGCACTCGGCAGTGTAATTAATTGGAATATATGGCGAAGTTATTTCTAAAAATCTTTCGAATGGGCAAAGTTCCTCACACTGCGGAAGCTTCTGCAAGCGAGGTTCCGAGCTGATGTGCTTCGCATAGTAAATCTGTAGACAAGAGGAAAGGGATTGTGAAATGGCAATTTTCGATCTTTTTTAATGGAAAGTTCAAATAAAAAATCAACAATAAAATAATGTATCTCTCTAATATAAGTTCTATCAAATATATTAAGTATCAGTATTATTAAAGACAGGACAACTTTTGAGATAGATATGCAAAATCTGTAAATAGACAGAAAAGGTTAGGAATGAGAAGGTTTTGGAATAAGTAGGAGAACGGGTTGCACCATAGATGTCAATAAGGAAAAGGAAAGATATATTGATAGGGCATCTTCTAAGACATAAAGACTTCCTTAGAGGTATATTGGAAGCAGGAACAGAAGCACAAAGGGGTACAGCAAGGAGTAAATTAAATTACTGTTCGCAGTTGGAGATATGGAATGCTCCATTTTCCAGGAAATGCTATGATTGACAGTAGATAAACAAAAGTGGAGGTGCGTGTTCTACTAGTCGTTGGACTGAAGACTTTATGATAATGTTGAATTTGGATTTAAAAATTTACCTGAGTATTACTGAATCACTCTAGGATAATATTATTTTTCGATAAATAATTGTTATAAAAAACTGTTTAAATAGACTTATTCAAACACTGGAAGATTTACCTGTGGATAAATATTTAATAAGAAAACAAAATCCATTACCTTAACAGCTCGACTATTATCTTCCAAGCGGTGCAATTCAATAAAAACAGCGGCACTGTATTTGGGTACGTGTGGAACAAACAGATTAAGCGTCGATAATACATTGATTACGTTGTTTTCGTGACCTGAGTACAAATACATCTTTCGGCCTTCCGGATACAAGGTCCTATTAGCTTTCTGAACCATTTGATCAATTACTTTCGATAAGATCCTTCCTACAGGCAGACAAACATGTTTTTAATTTGAGAAGACAGATGCGCAAATTTAAAAAAAAAAAAGAATTAAGTGGGCAAACAAAAAAAAACGTATTGATGATCGATTCCGGTGTCGTGAATATATTCCATGAAAAATACAAAAATATCTCAGAAAAATAGTCGTCACAACATTTATAAAAAAAATAAAAATACAATGGTAGAATTTGGCTACACTTTTTTTCAGAGTAAAAAAGTCCAAATTGACTTTCAAACAGCTAGGAATCAAATTTGGAAGGACATACTTGACCAAAACAATAGTAAGATGGAAAAACAAATTTCGTAGGTCTTATCTATAAAAACAATTGACATTCCAAATAATAATTTCAGCTAAGGTTTAGTTAACAATAGAAAAATAAATCTGACATTTTGTTGGGGCATGGAGTGTTGTATTTCTCTAAAATATTTTCAAAACAACTAAATCACTACGCCCAATATTTTCCTGTATAAAAAAGGAAGTACATACCTCCATTGAGTTTCTTGAGAATCAAGTTGTGATTTTCAAATTCACACTGTTTCCCAGCAAGATGATGAATGATACCGGGAAAGACCCTGCTAGTCCATTTGGGAAGTGTCAGGTTCATGTAGTCTTCTGCACTTAACGTCTGATAAATACTAAACATGTCGGCTAACGTGGTCATATTCTTGCCACTGTGCTTACTAATGTATTCAAAAACATTGCTGTTGTCATCCAAAACCTTTTGCACTTCATCAGAGGCCAAAACCCTTTTCAATTCTTTCATGTATGCAGGACAATATTCATTGGGTCGTCTCAAAACCTTAGGGAAGAAAAACAATAATTTTTAAAAAAGACAACATTCTTTTGAGTGATGTATCGTGCATTTAAAAATTAAAAAAGGAAAAAACCAAAAAACAAAACCTAAATCAAATCAATGGGGATGGCAAATATGTCGCATTTACGTTCTTCCTTCAACTTACTAACTACACTAGAGCAGTTGCTGATAGAACGCCTACTTTCACTCACGACAGACGTCGTAGGGAATATCGTAAACATAGAAAAGAGATGTCAGGTAGGACTTGCAGCGGACACTAATAATGAAAAAGGAATAACATTACACCAATTGATGTGTAACAGAAAGAGATGCAGACAAGCGGAATTTGACCATATGGCTATCACCGGACTTTAAAGAAAGTTCAACTTTCTCAGTAATCTAGGAAAGTAAAGACGTTTGTTTCAAGATATAATTCCAACCAGGCAGTTATAAAGCCGACCCTGATCTTTTGCCTACCTAAGCAACCTCTAACCGCTGCACCGAGTACTATTATTCGGTTCTCTCTTTTCACTTTGTCTGTACCACTTATGAAGCATTTCCTAACTTAACAAGGGCGTGGCAAGAAGAAAAAAGATACGTCCATTCTCACAGATAATTTATTGCGGACTATGCCAATTTTTATCGTTTCAACTATCTATGTTGAACTTAGAAGGGTTCAATATTATTTTCATTTATACAATTTTAACAAGAGTTGCGAAATATGAAAAACAGAATTTTATCTTTGGAGTCCTAAATCCGTACCTGTTTTACATAAATTACAAAAAAAAAATAAAAACGTATCAGTCGAGATGTTATTTTAAAAGTACTTTAAACACTTCCTTATCAGTAATAAAAACAACCATCTTGCCCTGATTTCAGCGTTTGCTACTTTTTCCATATTATTAAAATTATCTTGTTTGTATGTAAACACGTTTCTGATACGTGAAAAAGAACATCATCAAAGAAAATATATTAATTAAAACAAATGCAATCACTGATTGAAGCCTTTTTTAAAGTTTCATTATAATTGGCAGTTTATGTAGCAATTGCGATATTTAGCAATCGATCACTAGTTTTAATTGAACTTTAGTAATCGGTTTATTTATTGTTTGTAATTATAACGGACGCTATATCTGATAATACCTATACACATAAATGTCGATAGTTTCAATTTAAATGATAACATTTTCTGCATGAAACTGGTTAAATCGATTATGTATGCACTTTAATGAAATAAAAGTAGCTCCTCCAATCAATGCATCAATAATGGAAAATTTAAACTTGGATTACGTCAGTGTATGCCTGAACGAATAGAAATAAAGAAGGAAAAACAGTTTCTTCTGATAAGATTGCAACTGACGCAACAATCATAAGCATTTTTCGGAGTTGAAATCATAAATTAATACTTACAAAGTCATCGATGTGCTTTTCATAGTGATAAGGTATGGGAAGCCACCGCAGTGATTTGTCCCATTTTTGTTCCTCGGCTGGAGGAAAAAGACCAGCTAGTACCAAAAGGGCAGTCATCTTGGTTCTATCAAAGTCTGTGCTGGTGGCATGGACCACATCGGTATTATATGCACCCAAAAAATCACTGTACTGTCTACGAAGAAGTTTTCCAAGTCGATAAGCTCGTTGCTTGCCCAACTAAAAGAAGAATATTCACATTCTTTAGGATTCGAATTTTCACCAAACTTTCTTTTTCACATCTATGCAGGCAGGTTAATTAATAGCAAATACGTGACAGTATAGCGCCATCTGTACAGTGAAATTGTTAAATAAATAATAAAAAAACATGTCTCGCCTTCATTATCAACCCATAAATTTTGATTATTTGAGAATATTTCGATGTATTTAGTACCAGAAACAATTTATTTTAGTCGTTAAATTTACTTACATTGGTTAGCTGACCATACCCAACAGATGCAAATGTTTTATAACCATAAATGTCGTTAGGGTACAAATCTTTTTCTTCTGGTGTCCTGCTTCCATGTCTGAAGAACTGCAACAAAAATTCTGATTGTTTCTTTTGCTTTCCATTGTACGACAATTCAATTTAGATGGGAAGAGTAATGTATTAAAGCAGAAAACATAATTGGGAATAGAGATAGTACCAGAAAATATTTAGGGACTAATTCTAATTCAAGGCTAACAGAATATTTTTATGGTACACGAACGATAAGGTGAAAATTAGTTGACATTTACTTTTGGTCCAGATAAGAAAGAGCTGATTCATTTTGTAAAAGATAATAAAAATGATGAACAGGCTACTACAGGGTATAATTCTCATCCGTATCTATTTACGTTTCTTTAAATAACATGGCTGGGTAACATAGAAAAGTTCTGCAGAATTTTCCATTTAGTTTTAGCACTGTATAGGAAAGAGATTCAAACGCTTCAAAATTTCTGTTTTTGGTTCATCAGGCTATGTCCATGTTTAATCTTATTGGAATGTCCCCGGCTTGTATAAACTTTAAAAGCTTTTGGTGTGTCATCGTCACCAGCCACTAGTGCTTGTGGGAGGGCAGTCCCTCCGGACGACGCCGGAAGGTAGGGCGGAAGGCCTTCTTCAGCCCCCTTTCAGGAATCGTGGAAATGGGTGGGTGGTGGATCAGGTGAGAAAGATGAGACGACCGAAATGAAGACAGAAGAGAATGAAAGATTATCTGTGGAATATTACTGCCCCAGCATTTGCCTAAGTGATCCAAGGAAACCACAGAAAAACTTGGAACCAGGCGGACGGACCCGGAATCGAACCGGCGTCCTCCCGAATGCTGAGCAATGGTCTAGACCTCTAGGCCATGCCGCTCGGTCTCTGTGGCAGATTGACAGGTACGTATTCGGAAACATTTAGCACAGCAATAAATGGATGAACCAGTTATATTACAGCGTCATTGTTTTGACCAAATAGCAGGTCAGTAATATTATAAAGAAGTAAAGCTCCGAAACTACTCATACGAATTCCAAAATTCATTCACCAATATTTATAATGAATATTTAGGGTCATTTCTATGCATATTATGATTGTCTGTACCGAAATTCCATTAATTTTCTCCTTGGTGGTAAGGAAATATCCACTTACGTGCCATACTCACCAGTCTTTGATATTGATCATATTTGCATATTAAATGTTACATTATAACATGTAAATCAACCTGCTTATACCTGAGACATTCTTAGTGCTGATAATTCAGGTACTTGTACTTAAAAAAGATATTTACCTATAAAAAAACACTTAACGGCTTAAGTCGAGGTTATAGAAGTAATTGGATATAATGAAAAGAAAAAGCATAAGTATATCTAAAGACATTAGGTTAGATACACACTGTGGGACCGTTCTCGATGCGATCTCGATTTGCTCTCGCTCCAACTAGTGTTTGTTCATCAGCTGTTCAAATTTGTCACACTAGCTAACTAGTATTTTTGACGAAGACAATGCAGAGGTCCAAAAACGAAGAAAAGGTAAAGAAGAATGTGGATGTACTCAACTCGCAAATGCGAAAAATTGAAGGCGAATACTTCAGTAACTTCAGTTTCAAATAACAAATCTCCTCGTATTCGTCAGATTCAGGTTTACAACTAATCGATTGTAGATGATTATGAGTGAAGCGCAACCAAAAGCATATTCACACTACCGATACGATACGGTACGGAAACAGGCGGGATAGCGTCAGCGTGAAAGGACTCATATTTTACCGGATCGGTGGCGTATCGAGAGCCGCCCTGTAAGTAGTGGGAATCAAGCCTTAGCCGCACAAGCAAGATTAAAACGTATCGTAGTATTAGAGAGATTAAAAAGGCACTAATTAGTTATTCACGTTAATAAGTCGCGAATAAAGAAAAAATTCTTCATTTGACGTCAATTTAATATAAACTAACATTCTATTATTATAATACCTGTGCTTATATGGCTATTATGCATATTTGTACATACATTATGTATGTAAAATAAATAAAATCGATCAAATTTCTCGAAGCATTCTTTTGCTGCATTAAATAACTACATTAAAATATTATTATATCTAACATAAAAGAGTCAACACATTCATTTAAATATTAAAGAGAATGCAAATAAAATCAAATTTGAGTGCATACGTATGATCAAATTTCACACGACCCCACCACAATTCATTAACTGATTACTATTAACTTTTAGTAAAGTACCTACACAATTATCTAGTAGAATCCATTGCTCTAAATTCTAAAATATGTGCAGAATTCCGTAAAAACACATCTTCCCTTATTTATTGAAAACCTTAACGATGACTATGATAAGCCATTGCATAAATTATCCCAAGAGCATTACCTACTTATTCATTCGGATATTATTCTGGAATCACTCTAATAACTAGATCGTAATTTTTACTATCTGTATTTCATACCTGTCCATTATGTTATATTTAGATCACAAAGTGCTACTGTGTAAAGAGTAACAACAAGAATTTAATTAATTGCAGGATTTGAACTCTAATCATCAACACAAAGTGATATTGGCCGAACAACGACTGCCTATCGTAAAATAATCCCGAACGTTTTAACAGCTCAAGTTGATTAAAATATATCGTAACTAATTAGAGGGGGCAACGTATTGCTTATAATATTTATTTGTCGCTAATTCAGGACAATAAAAGTAATGTCAACCTTCTAATCACATATTTATGGATATTTTACTTCGGAGGCATTTGAATATTGCGATTCAAAAAAAAAAAAAGAACTGCTTAAAGAAATTAAAAGTCACTAAATGGTTCATCTGGTAGTAGTCAAAATGTAGATACTATTGATCATAAACAATTTCTATTTCGGAATCTATTGGGTTTCTACATATTTAGTATCCAATTTTAAAAATATTTATTGCAAAATAATTGTTGACACGAACTTCTATCAAAACGGTTTTATCTTTTGTACTGCTACAAGATTAAGCAAGTTAATTAATTTGGGATTAAGCAATTAAAAAAAAATATTTAAATTTATAAATGAATAATAAAAAGTAAATTTTTTTCTTCTTACCACATGCACTAGTTCGATTGTGCTATTCTGTTTGTTGCCTTCTAGACTTTGAATGAAAAATATCAAAAAACCGAAAAATAATGTTAATTTCATACTGTATTACAATGACTGTCGATAACCAGTGATAAATGGAAAATATTCAGATTTGATTGAAAAGTATCGAACACCAACTTTGATAACTTGAAGTCTAAATGTTACTGAACTAAGCTTTGAAATTTTATTCTCTTATATCTTCTGTCTTTCAAAACATTCTTTACGCGGCATGCTTGGTGTGTGTGCAATAAAAGACAGGGCCGGGATAGACTTAGACGACATCACGATCGGACAAAATTATTTTGATTCATGCAAAAAAACAAAAAATAATGCAAATCAACGAAAATATTGACCTGTATGACGTACGAAATGCTCTTCTTTGCTGGCGCATCTAATTCCAAAATAATAATAATTTAAATGTAACACATTTAATTTATGTAAACACAAATTACTCTCACGAATTATTATTACGCGGAGGTTATTGTTCTTAACTTTATATCGTCACTAGATTTCGTATGTCAACAAACTGCGTTGATTTTGTTATACTAGTTCAACCTGTCCAAATTTGGACGATGGGTACCGTTATTGATAATATGTTAATGTACACATGTAATTTAGAGAAGCATTTCATCAAGTAATACTCTAAACTCCAAAATTCTAAAGTTAGAGTAAAAGTAAAAGCCAGAGTGAACACTGAAAATAGACATTTAAACCCGCCACTTTATATTACAATTGTTTAGTTCCATCTGGAGCAAGTGTGTCAAAATCAGGTGTTTTTTATTAGACACTCTAATTAAAGTATGAAAAGAATGGATAACTGGTGTTTTGTGAAATAAAAAAAGGGCATAGCTGTATTTCAATTAGTTATTTTATGCTTTACTATCAAATTATTGATGACAATGAGTATTAGGCATAACTGAAAGAATATCTTTTCCAATTGTCCAATTATTCGATTTTCATGTGCTACCACCAAGGAATTGATATTAGTAATCAGTATGTAACCATTGTATGTTGTTTTAGCTACCATAGAAGTCAGTAAATGGAATAATGTATTAAAACATTAACCATAGTAAATATGAGTTTGTTCCAATTGGTTGAAAAGTCAGAAAGTTATTCCCACAATACAGTTTTTTCTTTAGGAATTGACATACAACCTCTTGGAATATTTATCCTATCTTATTACCTGTCCAACCTAAATGTATAGAGATATAAGTAAAATGAAAAAGAAATTTCAAAAATAATAATACAGTTAGAAATCTAGAAACTTAAAATTAACATTTAGTATAAATTGGTCCTAAAATACATTGAAATGAGCAAAAATTATTAGGCATTTTAAAAGGTTTTCAAAGAAAAAAGAAAAGTGTTTGCCACAGCCTGAAAAGGATCTAGAAATATTGTACAATAATTTATTAAATTTCAACAAGAAGGATTATCCAAAGGAATTCTAAACTTCAAGCTCTGTAATAAATCGTCAATTATGCATATTTGTACATACATTATGTATGTAAAATAAATAAAATCGATCAAATTTCTCGAAGCATTCTTTTGCTGCATTAAATAACTACATTAAAATATTATTATATCTAACATAAAAGAGTCAACACATTCATTTAANTTTAAAAGGTTTTCAAAGAAAAAAGAAAAGTGTTTGCCACAGCCTGAAAAGGATCTAGAAATATTGTACAATAATTTATTAAATTTCAACAAGAAGGATTATCCAAAGGAATTCTAAACTTCAAGCTCTGTAATAAATCGTCACAATTTTTCCTGACATCGGACATTATTTTTTATTAAATTATCAATTGTTGGTAGGTTTTATATTTCATTAATGGATCTGCTAAATAGACCTACAATTTTGCATTAATTGACAACAAACAAATTATTCGAATTCCTGTCCTGTTCTCAAGCCATCAAAAACACGTACTTTATTTAAGGAGGGAGGAGCACAACTTTCAAAAATGTACCACATACAAGTATCATACATAAATATGAGAACCAACAACCATACATGGTACTCGCCTTTATTTAATCTATGTTTGTATTGTATCACGTTGTACATGTACCTATGCATACACGTTATATACAAAAGGTACACTTTTGTGCTACGTAGGTGGGCCTTTTGTTGTTATTTTGCTACAAAACAATGAATAATAAATAGCTATAGTTATTTTTTCTAAAGGAAACTATTAGGAGAGAATGTACCTATCCACAAAGGCGTTAAAGGTACCTGCCTATTCATTTTCCGAAAACGTACAATCAATCAAATAATCACCTTTTTGTCTATTTTTAGGGCATAGAAAGGTGACTAATCATTAGAAGCAAGTATATGGTTTGTTTTATTTAAATGACTACCTCACTTTAAATTATTGTTTTTTAATGTGAAGTTACCATGAGTAAAGATGACTAAAGGGTAATAAAAACTAACAATAAACTAAACTAAAGCGATATTAGTTACTTATGTTTGAAAAATATTGCCAAACTTCAACTTTTCTGATTTTTTTTTAATTTATTCAGTTGAACAATGAATTAGATTAAATGAACAGCAGTAAATAGATAGATTATGCAAAAACTAGAAACGATCCACTTGTTCAAACCATTTCTGATTAAGTTTAATAATTAATGCGTTACCAATAGAATTAGCTGCTTTAATTAAAATTTAACATGGGTTAATTACAATTTTAAACGTTGGATTTTTGGACAAAAAGGCTAGCGAATCATTTGTCCAATCGCATTTTATTATCGTAAATCAATTTCATGTACATATAACTATCAAATTTGTATCTAATACAGTATCTCACATTGAATATTTTGTTTTTCATACTGCCTCATATTACAATGAGCAAATAAGTGGAACGTATGCTATGTAGCATGCAAACTAAATTATGACTTACGTTCACCCTGTTTAAAACAATGTTACCTACAATTTTCGGGCGCAGCCAAGAAGATCAGAGATAAAAGCAAGAACTTAACTCGAAGTGAGTGAATATCGTTCGAACATAGAAGGTCCATACTTAGGCCGACAATCAAAAGAATTGTGAGGTCAACCCAGCGGTAAGTACGGTCCCATAACATGATAGAATCCGAAATGTGATGCGGTAGGTACATGGAACATGTGACACACGTGATTGCACCATGGTTTCTATCAATAGTACGCCCCTAATAATAATGACATGTACGAACGACGTGGGTTTCCCAGGTGACTAATAAAGGACAGAAAACGCAAGAGTTTGTTGCACCTTTATGCACTGCGCGATAAGCAACCGCGCATCAATTTCGCCATTGTTAGTTGTCAGTTGTCCTTGACTACACGTCAAATGGGATGCGCATTGTCATACTACGCAGTGAACCACCAAGCACAACATGGTGACGTTTTTATATGCCACCCGCGCGATATATATTACGCATCTTTGTATGATTTCTTTTTAAAATTTCCACATATGTTTCAGAAATCGTAAACACATGGTCTTGGTGACTTTGGAATATTCATTTCATTGTCTTCTATTGCATGTAAAAATTGATTAAATTCATATCAGCTTATGACAATCAAATCAACCTAAAGAAATTCCTATATCAGCGCGAATTTGTTTTCCGGTTTTACCATTATCAATAGATAGTGCAATGTTAGGGCAAGTCAATAAAAAAAATTGTTTCGCAACGGTATTTTGGTACAATAACTTTTGACTTATTATGACAACTGAAATTAGCTATTGTTTTAAATCTGTTATTGCATCATTGCTTGTATATTCTGGTTTAAAAATAAACTTCGGTTGGTATTTTCCACCGTGGAAAATCCATGCGATCTGTTAAAAATTGAAGTCCTTATCGCCAAATTCCAACGTTTTAAATAAGTGCAAGGCAAATATTTGAAAGTAATGACGATCGTATTTCTTTAAAAGATCTTTAACCTACATAGAATATAGGTACGTCTTTTATTTACTTTGATCATTTGGTTTTGTCACCATGACAAACACGCATCTATTTTTTACATTGTCATTAGCGAATATCAACAAAGGTATAGTAACAGTGGCGGCTCGTAATACAAATTACCTTATTACTTTACGATGAGGCAGAAGGAGGTATCTCCTTCCTATTCCACGCATGTACATCGCGTCGTTTATCCCTTTTATCGGGATTTACCGTTAATCCAATTCCTATCGTCCATGTGCATGAAAACTTTAATAACTTGGTATTCAATAGGGTAATGGCGATAATTTTTATTGGATATAAAGGCCCAACATCTAAGGGATAAAACAGAAGATATTTTAACAATATGTGCCCAGAAATTTTTGCTTTATCTTTCTACTGGTTTTAATATTTGTAGACTTCATTATATTAAACACCCCGTATATTGATTAAACAAATTTACACAATTGTTGATAATTTTGTGTAGGTACTTTTATAGATTTATAAAATACGGATTACATAACTTTTTGTCACAGAAAACGGACGCGTTCTTGCAAAGGAATGAGTTGACGCAAAAAGTCCAAACTTCAAAAATTTATCATCATGATCATCATAGGCCTTAGTCTTAACGTATAAATATAGGATATGATGAGGCATAAGTTTATCACAAAACAAATAACAAATTTGTGCCTGTATTAATGGATTATTGTTTATTCTATTATTGTCCCATTTTTCCAAGGTGATGACAAACGGAATCGGAAGTAGTATAGAGGTCAATTATTGGGATATTAGGTTTGAATAGGTTCCACATTAATTAAAATTAACCGTACATTTTCCTATCATGGTCAGAGACAGAGCGTACTACACCTATGAATACTAATAAATGGCATTAGTCTATTTCTTTGCAATATTGACCTTTCAACTGAACCTAATCTGCTTCGCAATATTTATACGAAAATATAGTTTTACTGAATTTATAAACATTTGCTAAATTTAAATTTTCAGATAATAATTAATTACCTAAACTAGATTACATGATTGTCACAGTTGAATGACGTCTTCATCATCAATTTGAAATATTTGTTAAGGTGCATCTATATCCTTTGTTGTCCAGAATGTTTTGCATGAAAATAACCACAAGCAATTTCATGATCAAAGTGATAATATATATTTGCAGCGGTTGCTAATTTATTTAAATAAATGGTTCAACGCGAGGGTATACGTACCGAATAAGTATTTAGGTCAATTTTGTCCTATACCTACTAATGGATTCATGAACTGATGACGATTATGTGTGTCCATTGACGTCAAACATTTCGAAAATATTTTTATGATAATTGTAATCATGTAGACGCCCTATTTTATTAAATTTCTTAAAAGACTACTGGACTATCATATTTTGTTCCATTTACCAGGCGTAACTAAAGATTTCCACTTAATGGAAAGAAAGGTTATTACAGGAAGAAGGAACATTTACTCCGAGGTCATTCTTGTAGATCCCTGCTATCTGACAGCGGTAAAGTTTCTTTTTTTTTATATGTCGAAAGAAGACAAGACGAATTTTGATCATCTTCTAATATGTTTGTAAGTAGTCCTTCATGTCTCAGAAGATGTCCTACCATCCTACATCTTCTTCTCTTCATTGACTCCCATAACGCTCCTTCTTCTTAGATCTCCACTGCTTCCAACTATTTCTTTTCCGCAGCGTCGACCATACAGAGTTGTACCCGAAACATGCATTTAAAGTTTTGAGTTTTGCTAGTTTGAAAAATTGACGTATTTTAGTTTGCCAGTTAAATTAAGTCGAAGTGTCCTTTTTTTCCCACAATAGACAACTACGTTAAAAAAAATTACAAGGATATTCCTCTCCTTCTTCCTCCTTAAGATGATTCTTTCTGGATTACCAGCACAATAAGGGTCTTAACCAATACCATGATAGATGAGCTCTTGGATATTTACAGCCTTCTCATGAGTATTTGAGTTGCTTTTTTCTTTTGTGAAAATTTCGTGAAATGATAGAGGGAATGCAATTTTAAATTTTGTATCAAAGTGTAGTTGTATATTTTCACTTTTATCTTGCAGGACCTTGTCGTAGTAAGAACCGATTGCAAAACTCTAGCAGTCCTGCTGTTTAGACTGATGAATGGCAGTCTCTTCTTCCATTGCAGTTTTCCTGCCCATTTACATTCAAAATATTCAAAAATTTAAGTCTAACAGACATGGTTTCAGCCTTGACCTTAGTTTTCCAGAATATGCCTTTTTAGCAAAATGTGCCTTTAAAATCCTTTTTTGAAGAGATCAAAATTACTTCGCCCATCACCATTTCTCATTCATTATAAGCCCATCTTCGACACAACGACACTGTCTTTTTGAGTTCTCTTTCTTCCTGCTAGAGCGAGTTAAATATTTATTAAACTAAATGTTGAAGATACCGTGGATAGAGAAGGTTAGAAATGATGAGGTATTAGAATGAGTAAGAGAACAGAGGACTCTATGGAAGTCAATAAGAAATAGGCGATATAGGTTAGTAGAACACCTTCTCAGGCATAAGGTCTATTCAGAGACATAGTAGAGGCAGAAACAGAAGTTAGGAATGGTAGAGTTAGACCTAGATTAGATTACTGTTTGCAAATAGTTAAGGATATGGATTGCTCTAGCTTGAGGGAAATGCGAAGATTAGCTCAGGATAGGAAAGAGTGGAGGTGCGTGTCCAAAGTCCTAAGACTGACTGATGATCTTATGATGATGATGAAACTAAGTGTTGTTGGTGATTCAGACCATTTTGCTTCGAAGATTTTCGTCCTTAATAATAACTTTCTCTATGAAATTCTACTTCAGCTTTGTTTAAATGCTCTTGCAACTTTATGGATATGTTATTCAGTAAGTAAAATTATATAAAGCTGCACACAACCAACTGGATTTATGAGCAGTCCATCTGGACGTTCATGATGTTGAGTACATACAGCCTTCTTCCAATTCTATGTATAAATTCATAAAAGATGCTATAGTTAAAATATTATGAAGCTTATGTTAAGCGAAACAATACTAGTGATGTAGTTTTTAGACAATATACTTCATGAATGTTTTTTTGTGGTTTTAATTTCTGTTTAAACTGTGAACCATTTTCAAGAAATGAAGAGACAAATAATGATCAAACAATGATAAGCACGTGTTGACAGTCGTGACTCCTATTGAAGCATGTGAACATGTAGGTAAATTATACAATTTTAACCAAGTTAAGGCAACAATCTACAAAACAGGATTAAAACATCTCCCGTATCTACGATTTTACAAATAAGTGGATACGTAACAAAATATCGCACCACAGTTTGAAGGCGTGGCTTCTTATCATTACTGACTGGCATAAAATTGGAGATTGCTATTTTGAATACGGTGGCGATGACGTTAATTAAGTCCCATACACACACAATATGTTAATTTCAACGATTAATTTCAAGGCTCGCTGGTATCTGAGAGATAATGATATAAATTCTTGTTTTACTTACTTACTTACTGCCACCATGGCGGTATCTTCAATAATTATAAAACATCCTATTTACGTAATGCGATCAGAATACGTACATACTTGTGTTATAATTAAAAATTTGAGATAACTACGTCTTTAAATAATTAGCTTTAATTATACTATTTTAATCGATAAGTTTTACAATTCCAAAATGTGTGACCTAATGTCTCCCAACAACGTGATTTCTTGAGGAAGAGAGAATTACAATAATAATTAAAATTAATAATTCCTTACAAGGATTGTAATATATTGTATTAGACTTGAGATATGATTATTTTCACCATAACAAAGTAATAAATGCATGTCGGAATCAATATGATATCTAACTTAATAATCAACATTCCGAAAATGATTAAAACATCATGCACAGGTGAATATTGGATGTGATTGATTTTGGATTTTATTTCAAATACTTTGGAAAACTAGGATGTATATATGCAGACTTAACTTCTTCACATTCATGTTCACAAAAATTTCACAAAATTTATTTTAAAGTTTCCTTGATGCTTTCAAATTTAAAAATCATAATTCATGTTAGATTTATCCTTCTAATTTTAGGTTTACGTATTTAATACACTAAGTAGCTATAATTTAAATTCAAAGAAGATAAACCTGAGTTTCCAAGAGCATCGTCTATAATTTTCCTAAATTGGATTCACTAGCGCCACATAGTGTGATGTAGTTGCATATTTTCCTGTGGCGCTGTGTAGGAAATTCGAAGAAACAAGTAGTTTCCTTCTTTCACACTTCAAAGTATTTTCACCAAATCTATTTTTCAGTTAAGCATTCCTTAATTTGTTGTATGGATATGCAAATATTACAGTTACAAAAACACATGTTTTAGTTCAATTACAGATGGCTTGTGTGTAAGCAGTTCACAAAATCAATTACGCCTTTTTCTTTCCATTATGGTAATCTTTTGTAACTAATTAGAAACCAACCTGAGTTTGTGGGAATCTATAAAACACGAATAAATACTGTAATCCTGCAGCAGTGTTGTTGCAAGAAATTTTCTATTGGTCTTCGGAAAATGTTTTTCTTTTGTTGTATCGTCAGTCAGATATTTGTATGAATAGAATCCCAAGTGTGTATAGATAAATGCAAATAAATAATACTCAATTTTTAATTCCCTTACTTATTAGTTTTATTCACATTATTAAAATAAAACACTGTTTCACGAAAATATATTGTATTTTACAACAGAGTGGCACCATCATGTGATGAAATAAAGAAGGTTAGAAATGAGGAAGTTTTAAAAAGAGTAGGAGAACAGAGGACGCTATGGAAGTCAATAAGAAATAGAGTGGATAGGTTGGTAGGACACCTTCTAGAAATAGACCTGGATTAGATTACTGTTCATGAATAGTTAAGGATGTGGGAAGATTAATAGGTACAGGATAGGAAAGAGTGGAGATGCTTAATGCAGATGCGACTTCATTTTTTAAATCGCCTGGATATCAAATCGTAGTAAAAAATAAGATTAGTAGACACTACGATAACTTTATTAACATTTACTTTAACAGATATAAATATGATATGAAACGTGTTACAATCAGCCTAATCAGTCTTGAATCAGCCCCACCGGCTAATCTTACCCTTTCAGACATCGAGAGTTATTTATTTTCTATTTATTTTTATTACCTATTAATGCTGAACTTTCCTGCTTTATATTCCACTTATTTTCAATTATATTTCCTTATCCACTAAGTGAGGAAAGATAGGCGAGCATTATCTCAAGTACTTTTTAAAAGATTTGCCTGCAAATTCTTCTAAAACATTATTTACTTGCATGAAATACTGTGGGAACCACGTAATCAGACGATGGATTTGATTCGTTTTGTACTTTGAAACCTTTCTGTGATCGGATCCATCACAGGGTTTATAGGAATCACAGGGGGTAGTCATCTAAATTAACCGACGATTCACATTCTGCGGTGTAATTAAGTGGAACGAAAGGCCTGGTCAGTTTAAGAAATGTATTTAGTGGGCATAATACTTCACATTCTGGTATAACCATTTCGTGGATGTCTGGAGTGTACGTGGAGTTTTCGTATAAAACCTGGAAAAGCGATACGTCATTATGATTTCGGTGGAATTTTTGTATAGGATGAAAGGAGAGATGGAGTGATGGACTAGCTACATGCGGAGGATTGGGACCTAGAAATTAAATGGTAAGTGTAGGTAGTATCTCTAAAATTGAACTTGTCCTGTTGTAGTTAAAACTTTGTTGGTGAGAGAGACATTTGAAAATACTAAAGTTGTAGAGGTTCTTGGAACTACATGATGACGAAATAATTATTGTGGATTTTTGCAATAAAAAAATTCAAGAAAACGTTGACCAAACGGTATTGTATGAAAAGAAATAAATGTAAAACAATAATACTGGTAAGGGATGAAAAACTAGGGAAAGAGCGAATATAAAGATTAGAAGACGTGACTGATTTTCGGTATCTAGGAAGTCAGATAAGTCAGTATGGAAGGAGCAGTAGAGATATAAAACATAGTATAGCGCAGGGTCGGATCGTCTTTAACAAAAAGAAGTCACTTCTATGCTCGCGATCGGTTAAATTAGAAATTCGAAACATGGATGGTGGGTGCGTCCAAGAAGAAAAAGTTAGAAGCGTTCGAAATGTGATGTTACCGAAAAATGATGAGGATACCGTGGAGAGAGAAGGTTAGAAATGAGGAGGTTTTCGAAGGAATAGGAGAACAGAAGTCACTATGGACGTCCATGGGAACTAGGCGAGGTAAGATAGGTATGACACTTTCTTAGGCATGAAGGGCTAGCTAGAGACCTAAACTAGGTTACGGTTCACAAATACTTAAGGGTGTAGTATGTTCCAACTTTATCGTTAGTGAAATGCGAAGTCGCTCAGGATAGAAAAAATGGAGGTGCGTGTTCAACCAGTCTTAGGACTGACGAACTTATGTTGATGAGGAACTAAACATTGTGTTTGTGTGTTTATTATTATGGACTCATAAGAAATTAAACTAGGCAAAACCGATTTTCTGGAGAAGGGTCTTCACCATTACCTTAAAGCTGTATTGCTCAGAATATTTTCCCTTGTGAAGCTCCAAAATTACTGCGCTGCTGTAAGGTGGAATGTGCTGTTTATAAAGCTTTAATGTCGCCAGAATATTAACTATATTATTTTCGTGTCCTGAAAATAAATACAGTTTCCTTCCTTTTGGTTGCAGTCGATTTTCTATTTTCTTCTTCGAAAGATCGATAATCTTTTGAAGAATATGTCCTGAAATTAAATGATTGGTACATTTCAGTAACGTTACTGTAGACGTCATTTTGTCTTAGGTATAGGGAATCAGAGATAACCAACAGTACACCGAAGTACTAAGTTCATTAAACAATTGAGATTTGATTTCGTTTGGATTATTTCTGTTGTTGAGTTGAGAATTTTCAAGATTTTGTTCAGAAGATATGAAACTTGAAAAATTTCGAAGCGATGATTTTAAAGTATGTAGTACCAAATCATCAGCATTATCAACTTTTTGATGTAATGAGAATTCCGAATTTTCCTGGAGTTTGATTAGTGTCGATTAGTACGAAGAAAATCAAGTAGAACAATCACATGTCGTCGTCGGTTGGAGTTGCTGCCTAACGTTTCGCTAGCACAAGTGGCGAGCTTCTTCAGAAATCCTTTCATCTCTGATGTTGGATGTAGAAGCAGCTCCAACCTCCGACTGACTTTAGACCCGAATCAAGACAGTATCTGTTCACCTACTGGCCACAAAATCCTTTACCAATTTGTCTTTAGTTATTTCAAATACCTACTTAATTACATTCCCAAAAAAATCAAAAGTATGATGATGATGGCCATGGAAGTACAGTGCATTTATTAAAAAGAGTTACTTTTGTCAATGTTCTCGAATTTCAAAAGCATAGTTTTGGATTCCCTCCTTTTGACATATTTCATAAACTATGAACTGTGATTTATCGACGAAAACCCCACTGTTTGTCTTATAGGACTATCATACAAACGTTGGAATATAGTTATTGATATGTACGATTTCTTACCTCCATTAAGTCTTACTAGAATTTTATTGTAGTTTTCAAACATACACTGAAAGGATCCTATAGTAGCGAGAGGTTCAGGGTATACACTTTTAGCCCATTCTGGTACAGTCAAATTCATTAAACTCTGTAACAAATATATAGAAAAGTTATGAGATATGTACATTTAACTATTCACATTTTTCTATATATGGATGACGACGTTCACACACAACAACATCAATACCCCACAATCAGTGGTAAGAATGCATGGTTCCAATGTCGGCAATAGAAATATCGGCCGGTTTAAAATAAAATAAAAAAAAACTTTTGGGTGTTTCATTCGCACCAGTCACTAATGGGCAGTCTCTCCGGACTACGCCGGAAGGTAGGGCATAAGATCTTCTTCAGCCTCCTTTCAGGAATCGTGGGAATGGATGGGTGGTGGTGGTGGTTGGAGTGAGAAAGAGGCGGAAGAAATAAGGACCGAAGGGAATGAAAGGCTATCTGTGGAATATTACTGTCCCAGTATTTGCCTATGTGATCCAAGGAAACCACAGAAAAACTTGGACCAAGGCAGATGGAGCCGGAATCGAACCAGCGTCCTCCAAAGTATTAAGCAATGGTCTAAACCTGTAGGCCATGCCGCTCGGTTTAAAATAAAGGGTCCCTACCTACCTTTACAAGGAATAATGACAACGACTCAAGAAACTTTCATTACCTTTGAATGTAGGTTTTGATAAATTCGTAGCGCATCATGGAAATTATTCACAACTCGTCCGCTGTTTTCCGAAATATACTTAAAGACGCTATCATATTTTCGATAAATGTTTTTGACCTGACGAGATTTCATAACTTTATTCAGTATTTTTACATATCTTGGACAGTAGGGGTCAGGTCTTTGTAGAAGCTAAAACAAAACAACAATTGTATAAATTTGATTGTGTATCATGTAAAATACGAATGTTCTATGACAAAATTAAAATTTCAATAACACTTTCAAAGATACAAAAATTAAAATGCGTGAAAGTGTTTCACAAACAAAATGTTAGTTTATGTAACTATAAGTAACTGTAAACAATTTCTAAATTAGTTAATTCGGTTCAATTATTTTACGAACTGACGAATCACATGAAAGAAAGGGTGCAATTCCTTCTCCAATGTTTACAGCTTTTTATTGAACGTGAACAGAATCTAATAGAGCATATTTATTCAGCAGTATGATCGTGTTATTTATTGAGTCTATCGATGTATGAAGCTAAAAAGGGTTGATGATACAAGTGAAATTAAAGCTAGGAGGATGCTTCAATGATTGATTTGGATTCACATGAGGAAACTGAAAAAATAGGTCTTTGACATTTAGTTAAAGAAGATATACCTATAAAAACCCAAAAAAATTCTAAATATTCAAATTTGTGAATCTACTTGGAGTATTGTATAGTTCTATTCTACTATTTATTAGATCCAACACAGTCAGAAGTGAATTTAACTATTAAAGCCAGATGTATCAATTGCGACACTGATTTCGGAGTCTGGCCTTAAAATTGCCATAGTACGTCTAGATTTTGAAACACCCTAATAACTCCTGGTTTCAAAAAAATCAGTTTTTGAGACGGCTATGGGCATTACTATATGAAATTGAAGGATAAACTAACCAACAGAAAGTTATCTTCGATTTATCATTTATGGAGAATTAGAATCTAACCTTTGCACATAAAAATGTTGATATATCTTAATTTAAAAGAACAAATGATGTTAATTTGGTATATTGGTTTTGGAATCGCAAAATTTCAACATGGCGGAGTTTTTCAGGAACCATGTATGAATACGTCATCGTAGAATGACTTTGTTTTCCGATTCTTATTTCAGATGTCCAGAGTGGTCTTTAAAGGAAAAAGGGTAGTCAAAAAAGATCGTACTGCTTTGGCAGATTGAAACCAGGAAACGCAAAGAGGCTAGTAATTTTAGATATATTTTTCAAAGGCCAGCTGAAATCTTTCTCCAGAATGGTCCTCAACTCCAATTTCAAATCCAAAGAAGACAAATTAGCAATGTTTAGATTTTGGAGTTAAGGTATCTCAACATTTTGACACATTAGGCCAATAACATGATGTGGACAACTTTCTGACTAGATTTAGAGCTTCGTAAATGACTGCCGCTATTCTATTCGTTGATCTGCGTAATTTTTGGGTAGGATTTAGCTATGTCTGATGCTTTTCTTATTTGTAAATGTTCTCCTAACGACACATAAATGATGTACAATCTGGTGTTACATACATGGTCATGTTCTGAATCCCGAATTGTATACGGAATTGGTTGCCACGGCATTTCAGGGTTCCAAACTTCCGAAGGACTTGGCGGAAACATTCCGGCAAGTAAAAGTAGAGCACTTATTTTGGTACGATCCCAATCTGTGGAAAACGTGGCAACATTCTGTGACGTGTACTGAACAAAGTTTTCGTACCTTTTCCTCAGTTTCTGTCCCAGAGCAAACATCCTTTGTTTTCCTTCCTACAAAACAAACAAGCAAACGAGTTTTATTTCAATTAGATTCATTAGATGTTTTGGCCAACGTGTGGTTTTCCAGCCACGTTAATCTAAAAATATCACCGGGTTCTCTAGGACTTTTCTAACATCAAAATCTTTTAAACACCCCTGTATTTATTAGACTAATATTACTGTATTATTTATATAAAAACATGGCTGGAGGTATTTGTACGAATGTTCATATAAAACATCGTATTTTTGAAGAGATGATGACTCCCTTTGATGAATGCGTAGAATATTCCCATTCTTTGCTCGCCACTGCTGCAGATATATAAAATAGTAAATACTCTAAATAATATACTACCAATTGGAAACAATGTTTGAGATAGGAAGTTGTTAATAAGCTATAAACAATATACCTGTACATATTGCAAAAATTTTGAAGTCAACTTCGATAACCTTTCGATAAATAAATCACATGCCTTATTAGTAGTAAGTGTTATGTCAAGATAGAGTTACCAAATGAGTTCATGAACATTATATTAACAAATAATTGATTACTTTTTTAGTGGAAACATTTTGCGTCCAAATATTCATATTAAACACAAATTTTATGTTCTTTTATTGTATTGGATCAATATTCACTTTTAACTTTACTAATTAACTCAATTATGATTTATATTATTCATTACAAAAGCAAGACGTTTTGAAAATTACAATAATATAATTACCTAAAATGGTAATATTGTTAGAAGAAGACTCTTTATTTATCTAATTTGTATATTTATCGCATAATTTTTGTTGAATAATAATAACAGTAAAATTTTGACTAATTTTTGGTAATGTTTATTATTTACTACACCAAAATACTCATGATAAAAATTTCTATTACGAAAATATTTGCAGTGTAAAATTCTTCTATAATAAATATTATTTTGAAGTTCATTTTACTCAGAAAATGAAAAATGTGGTCAATCAACATACCTTTGTAATGTCACCATACGTAAGAGGATGGAAATAACTTATTGGATATTCATCATTGGGATACTGTTCATTAGTTTCTGGAACTCTTTCGGAATGCCGAAAAATCTACAAAAATATTTTCGGTGAAAGAATATTTTTATTAGTTAGTTATAAAACGTAGAGACATCTGCAGTCTGGGGCTGTTCTCTGTTAGGTAAAAGGTCATTCTGGATTACAAGCCGAAGGGGTTGATACTTCACATTGTTTTTTATTGTTAAAATAGTGCGAACTTTTGGTGTATTGAAGAAGAAGACGTAGAAATGGATCCACGTCTTTTACCTCCAAATCGCACTATGTTAGACAGTTGACCATACATTTGCTGTTGCAAATGGTTTTGAATAATATAAATCATACCAATCAATTGTTCTAGGGGTGCGGCTCATGGATAAACCATGATAAACCATGTGGGGGAGGAGGAATTAAAAAATTGTTGCAAAAGAGACATGTGGTTTATAGACAGCCCTAGCAAAAATTTGATCACATTATTTGATATCTAATATTGTCAAACCGATCCATTTTTTATGAATAGTTATGAAATTTTTACCACTCTGCTATGAAACATCGCAAGACTTTTAATTTAATTCATAAATTAAACTAACAACGAGAAAATAAAACGTTACAGATAATTATGTAACTTTTAGAAAAAACTAATTATCTACTTAAGAACTATTTTTCACTGTTTTTTTCTCAGAAATTAATTTGAAAAGAATTCAAGTTTTATAACCATAACGTTCAAAAAGTCATGCACATATTTTTTATGTTAAATAGTATATTGAATTTTTGATATTAAACTGGAACCCTGAAATGGGTTTTAATTCTTCTAAAATATCAGTTTTCAAAATAACCTAAATTTGAATTAAAAATTAGGTTATTCGGCATATTGAGTTATAAAAAATAGCAATACTTACTATAAAAACTAGTTTCAATTCAGTTTCCTCGTTTCCTATGGGATGGCCACCCCCGCACGTAAAAACAAACAGAAGCAAAATTAGTTTCTCCATCCCGATTTGCAGTATCCAAGAGCAATAATACGTTTGTGAGGTGGAAGCTTCAGACAACTTTCTATAAATCTCACCTTTGACCCAACAATGGTCACTTTCATGATATATACCGTTTGCTAAACAAAACATTACAGTGGGAGTTTGAGTGAAACGCAGCGTCACCGCATTGCTTATCGAAGTGATAGCGAATCTCGAGTTAATTTCCTTAAACAGGACATAGGTACTTAAAAAATTATAAACTACTGAACGAAAATACTTGAAATAATGCGAATTTTATAGTTCTAATAAAAATTAGAACATTTACTTATTATCTTCTCGTAAAATTATCACGATGGCAATCCCTAAATCCCAATAAACTCTATATTGATAAATTAATAATCACATACTGTAGCTACAAGTAATATGCACAACGTTCCATGTTTATATCTTTTATTGTTTTATCGATCAGATATGTTCACCGGTAACAATGTAAAATAATAGTTTATTGGATTAACACGTCTTTATCTTCTCCAACTGATACTGATTCTAGTTTCCTTGAATCCTTGCCAGGAAAGCGTTTGGATATTGTTTTATTTCAGTTTTGGTGAAATGTGTTTAGTATATTCATCGAAGTGCGGACTTCTCCACTTTTTTTTACATAAGTTACAATGAAGGTTTTTTTTTAATACGTTTGTTGTAATCCACTCACTTTCTCAATAAATTGTGATAAGTTTGACGAAAATGTTATATGCTATCGCAAGGGTCAATATGTGATCCCATTTCATTAATGTGTGGGTTCAAAACTGATATTTTTTCAGCACATGATTATTAAATCATTATAAGCAATGATAAAATATAAAATAAAACATTTTTCAATTTAACATAACTTTATTTTATGGAAAGGAACTTGAACTCATCATCCAAAAGAAATGTGCTATCATCATCAATAAATTACATACAATGCGATCTGTACAATGCCTAGAATTCATTAACAATCATCTGTAATATTTCTCATATCTTTAACATGAATTAAAATTGGGTTAAACTAATCTAATAAAAAATAAAAACGTTTAAGTTTAGCAACGAATACCACTAGATGGCGATGTAGGTACTGCTAATCAAAAAGTCTTCAGTCAGTTAGATATCGTAAAATTATGAAATGATTTTCTTATGACCTTTATCAAGAAAAAGACAAAAAAGAAATTTTATCTTTTCCTACGTTAGAAAATATCTAAAAACATGATGAAAGAAAACTAGTTGTAATTTTTAATCATGAGAAAATACTGTTCATAAACGAAAGTGCTTTCTAGGATACCAAAATAAAACACCATAAAAATACTTTTTGATAAATAAATAAATCAAAATCTATATTAAACTTATTTACCTACTTTATAAGTAAAAATATTGGTGTTTAATTTGTAATACTGGTTTACTTGATGATGTAGGTAGCAATTTCAATGATATTTCCTTCTGTAGAAATAAATACCTTAAAACAAATATTTGGTAATAAATAAAACTGCTGTATCTGAGCCTAATTAAGTATCAATATTATTAAGCGTTACAGCTGTCTCCTTTTTTTGGTAGAACATCATAAAATAAGGACTCAAACTTCTTTAAATCGCACAGTTCCGAACATCCTGGTATTTTCATTACTTGTGGTTCAGATTTTCTGTAGTCTTCGTAGTAAATCTAAAGCAAAGTCAATTTGAAGATATTTTTTAAAGTTGTTCTAGTTTTAGGGAAATGCTAAGATTAGCTCAGGATAGGAAAAAGTGAAGGTCCGTGTCCAACCAGTCTTAGGACTGACGACCTTATGATGATGAAAGAAATGCGAGGATTGACTCATGATAGGAAGGAGAAGACGTTATGATCGATGTTTTAGATATCATAAATTTATTAATGCTACTATTTATTGGGTTGTTCGGAAAGTCATTTCGTTTTCCCGACAGAGGATTTAATTGTATTCTTTTGCACCCAACTTCACATTTAAGCCGTATATTTTTTATATGCTTTGAGAGCTCATATAGCAAGGCTTGTGTGTGAAAAATTCCAATTAATTCTACGCAGTAGTTTTTGGTTGGTGCCCTTTTAAATATGGAGAGCGATAAGCAGCATTTTCGACATATCTTACTGTTTTACTACAGAAAGGGTAAAAATGCTGTTCAAGCCAGAAAGAAATTGACTGATGTGTATGGAGAAGGTGTGTTGACAGTACGCCAGTGCCAGAACTGGTTCGCTAAATTTCGATCCGGCAATTTTGATGTCGAAGATGCACCACGTTCGGGAAGGCCGGTTGAAGCTGATAAAGACGCGATAAAGGCATTAGTTGATGTGAACCGGCGAATAACAACACGTGAGATCGGATTGAGGTTAAATTTATCAAATTCAACAGTTTATGACCACTTGAAAGGCCTGGGATTATCCTCGAAGCTCGATGTATGGGTTCCCCATGTTCTCACAGAGAGAAATCTGTGTCGCCGCATTGACGTCTGCGATTCGCTTCTCAAACGTCACGAAAATGATCCGTTTTTGAAGCGCATCATCACTGGGGACGAAAAATGGGTTGTATACAACAACGTCAAACGCAAGAGGTCATGGAGCAAAAAAGATGAACCGGCTCAAACCATTTCCAAAGCCGATATTCACCAAAAAAAGGTGATGCTGTCTGTTTGGTGGGATTTTAAAGGAATCGTTTTTTTTTAGCTTTTACCGGATAACACAACGATTAATTCGGAAGTCTACTGTCATCAGCTGGACAAACTGAATGATGCACTTCAACAGAAAAGGTCAGAACTAATCAACAGGAAAGGTGTAGTGTTTCACCAAGACAACGCGAGACCTCACACAAGTTTGGTCACTCGCCAAAAGCTTTTACAGCTTGAATGGGATACAATGCTACACCCACCATATTCTCCAGACCTGGCACCATCGGATTATTATTTGTTCCGGTCACTCCAAAATTTTTTAGACGGTAAAACCTTCACCTCAAATGAGGAGGTCAAAAACCTCCTCGATCAGTTTTTTGCCAGCAAAGACCAAAAATTTTATGAGCGTGGAATTATGCTACTACCAGAAAGATGGCAAAAGGTGTTGGACCAGAACGGTCAATATATAATTTAATAAAGTATTTGTTTATTATACGAAAACTGTCTTTCATTTCCACAAAAAAAAACGAAATGACTTTCCGAACAACCTATAGTTACAAATACAAGAAGGAGTTAGAGATAATAGAACTCAGTTCAGATAAAGTATACAACTTGGAACTCACCCTCATGCCGTACGATTCCTTCACCCGGCTAACTTCGAAGAGAATGTATGAACCGTACGGAGGAATATGCAATCGTTCAAAAATTCCCAGAGCACTTAACATAACTCCTACATTTCTTTCGTGTCCTGAATACAGAAATATCTTTCTATCCTGAGGATTTAATTTACCTTCTATTTTGGCATTCGTATCTTCTATAATTTTTTTTAATAGGGGTCCTGAAAGAACCATATAAATTGATACTAACAAACCCATAAGAAATATTTCTATATTGTAATTGCACTTCCGTAGTTTTTTTGACTAATAAACAAGAGCGAATTTAAAATTTCATTGATATCAAAAAAAAAAAAAACTGATGCACGTTATCTGAATAACGTAATACAGCGGGAATGGCAGTGCAAATGCTTTCACTGATCCCTCTACATAAATAAACAAATAAATTAGTATGTTCAATGTTCATATTGAAACTAAAATTTAGTAAGGTAGTGTCGCCGAAGGTGGCCCGGCTCCTAAGATAGCCCACTTTTAAAAAAATACGGTTATGATTATTCGAAACGTTTTAAATTTTGCGGGTTTATGCTACTAGTGCCATAGACAATAGTGCAAGTGAGTTTCATTACCGACGCGTCGCCATTTTGAAGGCAGATGACAGTTTGCTTGGTCATGTCAAGACGATGCACGTTTTATAACCTACATTATCTAAATCATTTAGAAAATTTACAAATTCAAAACAAATCTCGTTGCTCTAAACTGTGAAAATTTATATTTAATCTATTTGTCAGCGAATTATAGGTGTGTTATTATTTTATTTCCTTTTTCGTATTTTGTGAGATTATACCCAATCAGAGTGTAATTTCCTATCATGGCCCATAATATAATTCCCAAACATAGCCCGGGCCTTCTTAGGTTTAAGTTCTGATTACGGATAAAGTTATTAAGTAAATTCACTTTTGAGATTTTTTTCAGTTTTTTTAGAAGTGTACACACTCAGTTAAAGACAGTAGCGTCTAATTTGTTTTAATTAATTAAGTATATTTTGATTGATCTCAAAGTTAATTTTCAGTATTCCTTAGATAGCCCACCTGTGAATGACATTAAAAAAAATATATAAAAAATACCTGATTTGTTTTTATTTTTGATAAGTAACTTTCAAAGTTGATCGCAAACTTAAATGTTATTTTATTTAGTATTTTGTTTATAGTTGATTTTCATTTTGATAGATTTAAGATAGCCCACATTTAAATTTTTGGTTGATTTTTTTAACTTTTATGAATAATGTTATGAGAAGGATGTGTTTTTATTTTCAAGGTTTATGTTAAAAATGTTTAAGTGTTTATAATGCATATATTTTCATTAATATTTTTCGGGCCATCTTGAGCGACCAGCTTCCCAAGATAGTCCAATACCAAGTTTCTAAAAAGCGTTTACATTTGTGTTAAAATGCCAAAAGCTTTACTACTTTTTTTAGATATCTTGTTTCTCAAATAAATATATTACAACTTCCATTATGTTTTTTCTTTACTTTACTTATCTGCAAAATTTTACGAGGTTTTGAAATTAAGTGGGCCTTCATTGGCGCCTGTACCTTAGTTATCTTTTTATATTAATCAGTTGGCAGTCTTTACGAGAAAATGGTATGGTTGCCCTTACGTTTGCTGTTTGACAATATTTGTGTTTATTGTCATGTTTCTTTGTTTCTTAAGCTTTAAACTTTATACTGTGTCTCTTAATAAGTATTGGTCAATAGACTGTAATTCTGAGAACAAATGGAATCCATATTTATAAAAAATGCTGATGCGCATTGATAGAGGTTACATCAACATAACCTAGCTGTTTTCCGCATAATCTATATATTTGGAGAGGATTTTTCAACACTGGCTTGATATGTCGCTAATCACTTTTGCAATGTGAAAGACCACATATATGTTCCAACGGTAGTAAATGTATATATGAATAAAATAAATACAAAAAGAGAGATAAAAACTGACCAGCAGAATATTTTGTGAGACTTTTGGTTCCGGTGTAAAGAGGAAACAGTTTACTTCCGGCTTTGGTTATATCTTCCGGCCACACTTTTTTGGTCCAGGAAGGTAGCTCGAGTCCCCATTCTTCCTACATAAATACGTAATTTTTACAATTATTATTTAATGTGGCAAATCTTTAAAATTATGCCAACTATTTTGTTTGCAATATTGAAAAAACTAGGAACTATAAAATTCGTTCGTAGAAACGTGTAAAACTGTAACTAATTTTTTATCATAGTTGTGATTGACGTTTTACGATTAGTTGAAAAACGATAACCTATGTTTTTCCTTATTACTATGTTAATTAATACATGCCTACATTGGGTTTTACGCCTTTTTATCTGCGAAACGTTTTTTCTTCTAATTTTACGTTGACCAAAGGAATTTTTGAATAACAAAATTTGCTGTTAAGAATTTACCTACACTTTGAGCTTTAGCATTGTTCAACAAAACATTAGGGTGTACGAAAGGTTATCTTTGATGAAGCAGGCGCAACGTTATGTAGAAATCCAACAGGACAAATTTTACATATAGATAAATTTTTACAAACGGATAAAAACTAGTGGTTGGTAGTGTCATTTATAGCGCGAGTAATGAGCAAAATTGGTTCTGGCCTTGTACAAAACTACAACCAAGAATGACCGAACAAGACCAAAACTAACACTGAAACCAAGTCCAAATGTGTAAGACCAAGGAAATCCAATAATAATATAGAGATGTGATAAAAGATAACTAACTAACTATTTCAGTTCCATGTAATAGTTCTAACCCAATAAAAAAATCTAAAGGTATTATTTGCATTAACTGAGTAATATTATGTATTAACTTACTTCAGTGGCTAGAGAAAAAAATAGACCGTAGGGTCCTAATGGGTTAACCATATTTTCGCCTGTATGTGTGGACAGATATTCGTACAAACGTTCATCTTCACTAAAAAGTTCCATGCCTTTTGGAGAAGCCATATAGCTATTCAATTCATTCGAAAATGCAGGACAATTGGTCAATGGATCTCCAAGAAGCTGTAACAGTGTACTTCTAGTAGATGGAATGTTGCCACAATTACGAATTAATAGAGACTGTACGTCATTGAGCAGAGGTTTGCTTTGAAATCATTTCAAGCTTTTTATTGGTTTCGTTGTTAGGGATATAAAATTGTTAAACTAGTTCAGCTACGTATGCCTCAATTTAGAATATTTGTGAATAAGGGGATAGAAGGCGTTTAATCTTGAAGGTACCTGAAGTATCACAAACAGCATGGTGTATGCCACCTGTGGCTCAAGGCACATAGAGAAATTCAGTATGACCAACAAAGTTCATTTACGTTGATGGATATCTATTTGCTCAACTGAATCCACGATGCAGTTCACCTCTACGTGCAAAATTAAAAAAAATAATGTAGTAATGCTGGTGGGCGGGCAGTCCCTCCGGACTATGCCGGAAGATAGGGCGGAAGGCCCTCTTCAGCCTTCCTTCAGGAATCTTGAGAATGGGTGGGCGGTGGTTCGGGTGAGAAAGGTGAGACGGACGAAATGAAGACAGAAGGGAATGAAAGACTATCTGTGGAATATTACTGCCCCAGTATTTGCCTAAGTGATCCAAGGAAACCACAGAAAAACTTGGACCAAGGCAGACGGACCCGGAATCGAACCGTCGTCCTCCCGAATGCTATGCAATGGTCTCTACGTGATAGGCACGTAACCAAGTTGAAAAAAGAAGTTCATGGTAGTCGCAATTTCGATCTTGCTGGATCTCATCAACGCATCTGTCAAAACTGTTTCAAGATCGAAATCGTGATCCGCTTCATGAGCTACTTTGTTGAAGATACCCAATTGTAAATGTCACCATCAGAAGTAGAGTCTTTTAAGCTTCCGATGATGTTACTCAGAAGTCTTATTATTTTGCACCAGTTGTCAGGGAACTGTGTCAGATACATCATTCATATGCGAGCATCTGAAGATGCGATAGAGGACGAAACTTAGACAGTATATAACTTGATGCAGTGTAAATCAGCAGTCCTGAACTGCTACTTAAATTTTGTATTTTTCAAGCAAACCTTACTAGCCCATCCCTTTATTTAGCAAGAGTTAGACTAAAGAAAATTCATTACTTACAAAGTCTTCAGGTGCCCCCATATAATTGTAAGGTATTGGTTGCCAATCTAGACCTGGAAGCCATTGTTGTTTGCCTTTTGGTGGGAACAAACCTGCCAAGACCAGTAATAGAGACATTTTCGTTCTGTTGAAGTCAGTGGATCGAGCATCTAGCACAGAAGGCGTGTAAAGGTCACCCAAGAATTTACTATACTTCTTTTGTATGCTCTTGCCAATGTTGTATTCTCGTAGTTTTCCTGCCTACGTTGAGTGAAACACAATTTTATACATATCATTCCAAAAACAACCGTTTCGTCGCCTAACTTACATTGACAAGTTGCCCATAACCATAGGGATAAAACGTTTCATTGATGTAAGGGTCCTTTCGGTACGTTTCCTTGTCTCTGGTTCTGTCGCCATGTCTAAACACCTTTCAGGTAACACAACAGGGGTTATAACAAAATATAAACCAAGTGGAAGGAAAATTTTATTATTAAATTTTTAAATATGAAAGTGATTTTATTTTTTACAGAGAAATACTTATTTTTTTAATGAAATTTATTTCGAACTAACTTAAACTTTGACCAGTTTTTAGTTTTAGTAAGTAATTTTTGTTCTTTTCGATTTTCCTACTAGTTTAATGTTAGCTTCAATAAAATCGATTTTAAGTAATAAGAATCGGAATCGGAATTCATTTTCTTGCTATTAGTTCTATTTCAACTGTAATAGTGGTAGAACATTATCACTTTCGACAATTTTTATTCACTTTCTTGATAGTTTACTATTTTACCGGAAACACAAAGTTTAAAAGGAAATTAGATTAGGTATGTTTTACCTATTATGCATACAAAAAAACGCATACATATAATCCAATTGAGTAGCGATAATTTTGCAGGAAGGTGGGTGATGTTTTACAATGTTGTTTATTTTTGCCTGCTACAACAGCTCATTGTATTAAACTTATGAACTTCTAAATGATTAAAAAGAAATTGGCGGAAACTATAACCGGATTGGCTTACAATAAGCACATGTCCGGTTTTGACGAACTATTTAAGGTCCATTAAACTTAAAATTGTTTCGAATATAACGAGCATCTTTTGCGATATTTTTTAGCACCTTCGACTAAATCTGGCCTGAAGGGAAAAGTAATAAAATAACAATTTTTGCAAATATATATAAACATCTTAATCACTTATTTACCCTAAAGAAGGCATGAAACAAAGGCAGAACGTTGTAATTGCAAAGTTTAAAATTTTCATTTATCTTTTATTGCATGGAATTAACCACTCAAACGAGGTATGATCAAAATAACTAAAATTTTTCAAATAATACACTAATTCCACCGTACGTTCAAAAGACCGCAAATGACTACAGTCCCAGGTGGAAACAAGAAAGAAGATACGTCCATTCCTATCATTGATGGACGTATGAGGAACCCCAGAGTTCTCGTCATCTCCAATGTCTTCTCGACCTTCCTGAAAGCTTTTCTACCATTCGTAAACTCGTGCTTCTGACATAGTATCACTGCCAAAGATTTTCTTTGACATTTTGAATGCTTCGCTGCTCTTAATTCCGTTTTTAACATAAAATTTCACACCAACTTCCGGATTCAAAGTTTTCTCACATAAAAAATCTTCAAACACGTGGTAGGTTATCGGCAGTGCAATCAATACGCGAAAAAGAAGACTGAACTAGATAAAGAAGATATAGCGCGAGTTATTTTAAAATTCTCGTTACTTTTTGATCACACCTCATACTTACAGCTGGCAACTGATATTAAATATTGCCTGAGGTAGTTAACTGGATATTCAAAATATAAAAAACTTTGCGAAAGAAAAAGTTATTATTACGATAACTACAAAATTACTATGAATCAAAATAGCAAACTAAAGTTAAAAGGAAGATAGTTACCACATGAAGAAGCACTACATCATCCGGATTGAAACGGTCTTCAGCTTCCTTTTTTGGAAACGGTGGAAAAATGAAGGCGGTTGCGAAACCAAGCACGCACAAAAACGCGCACAGTGGCACTGCGTTGAATGACATGATGTGAAAGAACACGAATTTGAAATGCGCTTTTTAAAATAGGCCTTTATCACCGGTAACCTATAGTTATGATATGCACCATGCTATCTGTAGTTCTAGTTATTTATATAAAAGTAGGCGGTAGTCGATAAAAATAATGAATAAACGATTTAAAATATGGTAAATACCCTGTCAGTGAAAGAATTTGCATTGACACGTAATTTACATTGCCAATGTATGAACCTACATGTCTACAGATGGGTTTTGCCAGGTGAAGAGTTACATTCTATCACTGACGTATGGCCATAGGCATGGGTACATTGGATTTGTCACATTTGCAATTAAATTTGTAGAATTTCATGAAATTCGGACTACATCTTCGGAGAAAGACCGCACAGGTGTAACATTGACCTTATGGTTCAGTAGATACTTGATCAAATTAGGTTGTTAACTTATAAAAGATTTTGGAAACTTATTTATTTTTTTGATCCTCCAAAAAAGGAAATTGTCCAGGGAATGTTGACAAAAATAATAAAGTTAGGAATCACTATATACGGTTTAGATGATGAATTCAATAAGAATGTGTAGTAATTGAGGCAAAACGTATAGGTACCTATTGGTCAAACAAGTAGACCCTTTTTAGACAGAATACAAGAACATAGAAAATGCTTTCTGACTAAAACCACAAACTACAAGTTGCGCTAAATATTTAATAATAATAAAAATTAGAAGCAAACAAATTAACTAAAGAAATTCCATCTAAAAGAAATTTCACTTTACACTAAGACAATTTTTAATTAGTTTCAAATTCCGATGTTCTTTCCCTTGATCAAGTTACTGTGATACAGAAGTAATTACCGTGGATTATCAATTAATTATTAAAGACTCTTTTTGCCTTTTTGGTAAAGTACCCTAAAAATGGTTTTCCTGTTTACTGCTTTCATGTTATAGGAGTTATCTATTATTTAGTGCTTTGGGTACACTTATTAAACTGAATACAATTCTAAATTAGGAAAATGGTAATTTCCATGTGTAAAGTGAATTAATTTTAACATTTAGCATATCTTAACTTCCTGCAATTGAAAACACAATGTTTTATAAATCAAATTTTGATTAAACGTATAATAGTAACTTTGGAAACATTATAAATTGAACTTATTGGATTCTTTTGAGATTTTAGCCAACGCTGGAGGCCGTTGAATTCTGCCCATTTGAATGCAGGATGTCAGACGTTAATAATAACAGAACAGTTATTGGTTTTACAAACGTTTTAGTAACAAAAAGTGTGGTTTTAAAGAGCACGATGTTGCTGTTAATTTCACAATCTATTTTCGCTTCCAAAACTTCCAATTACCTCAGAAAATCTACGTAATAATTGGAAAGCATTCATCTGTTTCTTATAAATACTTATTAAATTATCTATAAATTTATTTGCGTACATTATTTAGACAGGTATATGTCCAAAACAGTAATAATTGTCTGGAAATTTGTAGGTAACGATTGTTAGTTATTAATAATCGGAAATAAAAAATACCATACCAAATGTAGCAACAATTCTCATTTTTAATTTTATCAGTTGTTATATATTATCGTGCAATTATGTAAATTGTTTGAAATTAACCTTTTCCTGCTACTGGACAACGCGAACTGTAGTACATAGGTTGTGCGGCTGTGAAATCCAGTTTATGACATGTAATTAATTAATCACATTTAATTCATTGATTCAGTTTTATTGTGATCCGGAAAGTACTACTACTATTGTGCCTAGAGAAAAAGGAAGGAATTTGTGAAAGGTTACACATTTCGGTTAGTAATTTATTAATCATAGTAGGTGAGATCAATCACGTCTGAGATTTTTATTGAACACTTGTTTAAAAAACTTTTGTATTTAAAAATTGTAGTATCTGCTAAATGCTAATGTAAAATTCTATTATAGTATAGCAATTGTTTTCTTTTTCTGAATTGTGACTTATATATTATGACATTGTTTGAAGTTTATTATGCATCTTTATTAATTCTTGAGATAAGCACCTACCTTTTAAAACATTATTCATAACAGACATTTGAATAAAAGCTGACAAACTGATAATTCTTCATTTGAGAGTACAATTTTCATGGGTTAAGTAAAACAATGAACTTCAGTAATTCTTTCCGAATGTAACTGGTTCATTCAAGGACTTCTACGGCAAATTACATAAAATTTTACTATTACAAATTAGGAACAAAGTACCCACTTGCGTTAAAGAAAAGTACATTGACAGCATGTAGTGGTCACCGAGCGACATGACCTAGAAGTCATAAATTCAATTACGCGTTCGACTGCCCTGGTCCAAGTTTCCTTGGATATATAATAACAATATTCTACGGATAAACTATCTGTCTCTCCCTTCTGTCTTCGTTTCATCCATCCCGCCCGTCCCACCCATTTCTTGCCTTCCAGCGTAGCCTAGAGGGATTGCCAGCCTACCAGCGTTAGTAGCTGTCTTTTTTAGTATAGCGATCTAGTATTTCGGAGAACACTGATTCGATTTCAAGTTCACATCACTAGTGTAAAGTTCCTCTGGTTTTCTTGGATCATTCACTTTTCCTGTGTCTTCTCTTATGTCTTCACTTCGTCCGTCTCACTATTCTCACTCCAAACATTATCCACCACCCATCCATTCCTTACCTTCCGGCAAAGCCCGGAGAGGATACTCGTCCACCACCTTTAATACCCAAACAAACATTCAAAAGTAATTTTTTTTTTGTAGTACATCGGTCTAGATCAAAGCCCAGAATTCTGGAGAACACTGATTCGATTTCAAGTTCACATGACCAGTGCAGAGTTCCTTTGGTTTTCTTGGATCATTCACTATTCCTGTGTCTTCATTTCTTCATCTCACTCCAATCACCACTCACTACCCACACATTCCTTACCTTCTGACGTAGCCACCATTAGAATCTGGTAGGAATAAAACACTCAAAAGTTTTTAATAAAGCAGTCTAGATCAAAGTCTAGTATTCTGGAGAATACTGACTCGATCTCCAGTGCAGTTTCCTCTTTCTAAATAAATGCTGCAGCAGATAGTATTCATTTCTCTTCTGTCTTCATTTCGTCCGTCTCACTATTTTCACTCCAAACATTATCCACCACCCATCCATTCCTTACCTTCCGGCAAAGCCCAGAGAGGATACTCGTCCACCACCTTTAATACCCAAACAAACATTAAAAAATAATTTTATTTTTGTAGTACATCGGTTTAGATCAAAGCCTACCATTCTAGGGAACACTGATTCGATTTCAAGTTCAAATCACCGGTGCAAAGTTCCTCTGGTTTTCTTGGATCATTCACTTTTCCTGTCTCTCCATTTCTTCATCTCAGTCCAACCACCACTCACCACCCACACATTCCTTACCTTCTGGCGTAGCCACCATTAGCATCTGGTGGGAATAAAACACTCAAAAGTTTTTAATAAAGCAGTCTAAATCAAATTCTAGTAGTCTAGAGAATACTGATTCGATCTCCAGTGCAGTTTCCTCTTTCTAAATAAATGCTGCAGCAGATAGTATTCACTTCTCTTATGTCTTCATTTCGTCCGTCTCACCATTCTCACTTCAACCACTATCCACCACTAATCCATTCCTTATCTTTCGGCCAAACAAACATTCAAAAGTATTTTTTTTGTAGTACATCGGTCTAGATCAAAGCCTAGCATTCTAAAGGACACTGATTCGATTTCAGGCTCGCATCCCCTGTCTAACGTTTCCTCTGGTTTTCTTAGATTATCTAAGATCTTCATTTCATCCGAGTCACCTTTCTTACTCCAACCACCACCCACCACGCATTAATTCATTACCTTCTGCGTAGCTCAAAGGAACTGACTGCTCAGCAGCAATAGTAACTTATGGGAATGAAACACCCTAAAGTTCTTTCCTTTTAGTATAGCGATCTAGACCAATGTATAGTATTCCGAAATGCAACGTTTCTTCTGGTCTTCTTAGATCATCTAAGCTAATGCTGCAGCAGATAACTTTCACTTCTCTTATGTCTTCATTTCTTCCGCCTCATCCTTTTTACGCCAGCCACCACACACACATTCATTACCTTCCAGAGTATGCCACAGGAACTGACCGCCCACAAGCATTAATAGCTGATGAGAATGAAACACCCAAAAGTTCCTTCTCTTTAATATAACGGTCGAGATCATTGTGTAGTATGCCGGAGAACACTCATTCGATTTCATGCGCGCATCTCCAGTGCAAAGTTTTCTCTAGTTGTCTTTCCATCCATTCAATACCTTCTGGCATAGTTCGCAGGAGCTACCCATCCACCAGCCTTAGTAGCCAAACAAATATAGCGGTCTAAACCAAAGCCTAGCGTTCGGGAGCACACTGTCTCGATTGCAGGTTCTCATCCACAGTGCAAGGTTTCCTCTGGTTTTCTTGGATCATCTAAGCAAGCATCAGGTAACCTTCACATCTCTTCTGTCTTTATTTCTTCAGTCCTATCCTTCTTACTTCAACCACCACCCATCACCCACCCATTCCTTACACTCCGGCGTAGTTCGCAGGGACTACCTATCCACCAGCCTTAGTGGCCAAACAAATACAGCAGCCTAGAACATAGTCTAGGATTCTGGAGAACACTGATTCGATTTTGGGTTTTCATCCAGATGCTACAGGAGATAACTTTAACTTATCTTCTAAATTCATTTCATCCGTCTCATCGGCCTCACTACAATCACCACCCAGCCGTTTCCACGATTCTTCAAAGGAGGCTGAAGAAAAGCTTCCTCCCTTCCCATAGGGTTACCATGGAGGTTAGGGTAGCCCCCTAGTATAAGTAACTAGTGGATGTAAAGCACCCAAAAGTTCCTTTCTAATTTTCTTAGAGCGATCGGCTTGATGTGTGGTTAAACCACACATGGGCGTCTTTATGTGTATGGTAGTTATGACAGAATTTAGAGCTCAGTAGGATCAAGCTATGGATTTTCATATCTCGGAAAAAATAATTATTTTATCACCTGGCTTGGTCGGAAGCTGTCGCTGCCTGTATTACTTCTGAGTTGTGTCAGTCTTTAGGTCACTTGCAGGGTATTTTACAAAATAAAATGAAATTCATAATTAATCAGTAAGTTGCAAATTGGTCTGGTAAGATTAGACGACAAACCGTTATTTATTCATTTCTTGTTTCGAAAATTGTAAGAGGAAGTATAAAATGGAGGAAAACCATAATTCGACATTTAACAGTTTATTAAGTACATCTATTCATCAAAATATAATTACAACATATATCAATAATAAATATTATAATGAGTATTCTAACTTTTTCGTCTTTCTTCGTTTAATTCTATACAAAATGCGAGTCTATGGAATATAATTAAAAACAATAAAATTCTTCATATACAGAGTGTTCCCTTAGCAGATGCGTAGGTATGACGTTGTCAGAAAAGAAGTGATTATTTAAATTATCCATACTCATTACCCATCTACCAATCTAATGTAAGAAAGATAATAGATAAATATAAGAAACTAGGTAAGACAGAGAGATACTAAATAAAAAACAAATGGCAGATACAGATCCCTGTAAAATATTACAGAAATCTGTAACAGCGTTTGTTACCGAAATTGAAGGGATTGTTATTTTGGTTCATTGTATGGATAAAGTTCTGCATGATTCAGAAAAGAGGAATAGACAATTGTTACAGAAATTAGATTAGGTTAGGTTAGGTTAGATAAAGATTATATTATTAAATGATAAAGATTATATTATTAAATGTATTGCTTAAAAAAGAGTGAAAAGTTCAGACATTTCATAAACAGTTCAGAAAATTGATAAGCTTTTGGAATTGAAATACTTTAGCATACATATGTAGGTCCTTACCCAATGCTGAAGCCTTTGCTGCAGACATAAGTTTACAATAATCTTTTGGAAATTAATTAGCAGTAATCAGTCGACAAAATAAATAACCTGTTACCCCATCTGATGCAACATTAGGAAATGGTTAATAGACAATGCAGTTAGATACAGAACAACATTAATATACTTTGCTACGTTTCCACATTTGAAACGCTCTGATACATGTTTTTATACACACGTGTATATAAACCATAAAATTTATAAAAATACAGATAATAAGATCGTTTCTATTTAAAACAAAACAACATTTTTAAACTATATAACAAATATAAACACTATATACAAGAAACAAAATAACAGATAGAGGTTTAATATAATAGTTACATTACAATTTAAGAACTAGGTATACACAAATATACACGAATGCTATTGCTAGTACACGATTTCTTCTAATTCAGCTATGTACAAAAACCTACCAAAAAATAAACATAAACATCAGAAAATTTCTGTTAAAAACATATTTACAAAAAAGCTACATAAATATCAGTTGCAAATTTTATGAATACAATATAAAATTTAGCGTTCGACTTGCTTAGAGTATCTAGCTATTAAAAAAATCACAAATATTTACTAATTTTTGGAAAGCTGACAAATTTTCTTGAAGTAGTTATTATTAGTATTACTGTTTACGTATTATATATTCAACAAAAAAATTTGGCAACAGTGTTGCGTTTTTATGAGAATATCTAAAGCGGAATTGTTTTTTGTATGTTTTATTTATGATATTCATTTGTTTATTATCTTGATTTATAATTGTAACGCATAGGTACAAGGAATATTTATTTAAATTAAAGTTACCTGTGTACTTATTGGAATGTCGACATAGTTCACTAATAACGGCCATTATTATTATTATTAAAATTGTCGNATAGATTCTTTTCTATTTTAACAGAAAGAATAGATTCTTTAATTAGGTAATTATTAAAAATAAGTTGAAGATTAACAGTATAACGTAAATATATATTTGGCATATTTCAATAAACCAACTAAAAACGGATATCTAAAGGGATTTATCTTATTGGGTCTAATAGGTATAGGTAAGATTATAATGATTAATTGCATTAATAGATAATTACAGTAAATTACAGCCTTTACATTGATATGTATTGTTTTTGAAGCAGTGATTACGACTCAATTAAAGTAAGCTTTTACGTAGAGAGATAGCCTGAGACTAGAAAGAACAGACAATATCAAGTATTTCATTACACATAGTTTACATTCTATAAGAATAATTTAATATTCTTTTGGATCGTATATGTCACCGTTGGAGCGCTGTTAATCTGCCAGCGATAAAAATGTAAATTTTACAATAGTCCAGAAGAAGACGTATTCTGCATTAAAGATCATAAAAATTGCCAATAAGATCGCACTTGGTAATGTTCAACTAGTTTATTTTTATAAAACTTCTAATATAAATGGGCTATTATGATATCGTCTAGGTCAGAGGTCGGCAACCTGCGGCTCGCGAGCCACATGCGGCTCTTTCGATGTGAAGCTGCGGCTCTTTAGTTCCATACGAAAATATTATTCATTTTATCAAAAAAAAAGAAACGTTTAAAAATCGTTCTGAATTGATTAACGAGGATTAGGCACTGATTCTATCTCTCGCTTTTCACAGCATCCCAATAATCTTCCAGATTGTTACAGTGACGTGAAGAAGTTGGCATGTGGAGTGCTAACTATCTTCAGATCGACATATTCGTGCTAGCAATCCCTTGCATGAATATAATTAAAAGTAAAGTAAGAAGCCAACTGATAAATGAAAATTTAGAGTCGTGTTTGAAACTTAAAACAGCAAGTTATGAGCCAAATTTATCCAAACTTTCTAAAACCATGCAAAGTCAACACTCCCACTGAATTTGTTTGCTCAAATGTATGTTATTATTCTTTTTTTTATTTTAACTACAAGTTACTTTGTTTAGAAATAACCATTCAAAGTCATGGCTCCCATTGAATTTGTTTGCTCAATTGTTTGTTATTGAAGTACAAGTTACTGTTGTATATAAATAGATAGATATTTTTTCTTATGAATAAATAGATATTTCTTTCTTATGAATAAATAGATTAGTTTTTTATTAAAAAAAATTATTTAAATGCGAGTATTATTTATTGTTCATCATCATTACCTCAGTCCTAAGACTGGTTGGACACGTACCTCCACTATTTCCTAACCTGAGCAAAACTTCCAACCTTTTCTATTCCGCCTCGCCCACCGTCCATGTTTCGCACCCGTACAACGCCGCGCTCCAAACATACACCTTTAACAACCTTTTTCGAATTTCTAAATTAACCGTTCGCGAGCACAGAAGTGACTAATAAATTGTGATTTATTATCAAAAGGTTGCCGACCCCTGGTCTGGGTTAAAGCAAACTGTTGACGAAGAATGATGACGAATCATTATTAAAGATTTGACCGCTTACACACTCAGCCACACTTGGCCGCTACTAAAAGGGTGATTTATAGCAACCACTATCTTCTATTACGCGTGGTTACCACCAGACGACATTCAAAATACTATAGTGCCTTTTGATGAAGATCTAGCCAGAGTTAATAGCTAAAATTAATTGCATGACTACATACTGGCCATGAATTCTTGAAGTCCTTAAAAACAAACAGAACAAGAAAAATTTTTGGAGAAATACAAACCATAAAAAAAATGGTTTTAAGAACCCAGCTGACCCACTAATTAATAAAGATACCATCTCTGAAATCTCCTGGTCTGCTATTTTCGATAGGCGGCAGTCCCAGAAAGAAGTTGTGTCAAAGCCGTTAAAAGTCAGCGCCAGGTTCAAGTAGCGAGAATGGGTTGCTACTGAACATTGTGGTTGTTGCTAATGGCGTAATGTTTTCACTCAACACCTGACGGTTTCTAGTGGCTACCACAAATAACAGAGTGTGTAAGCAGCCTAATAGCAACGTCCACTTTTGTTTTCTATCCCAGTATAATATACCCACGACGATAAGCAGTTAGAAAAATAACATTTGTAAAACTTCCAAACCCTTTTGTTGTAAAATAAGGCTACAGGCTTGTGCGCTACAAAATCTATATAAGCATAACACCGCATACCTATGCTAGTTCTACAGTACTTAATTTAGAAAGCGTAAAATTATTTATCAAACTGGAATATTTAATTCGTACGTATTTTTGATAAATTAGTTTTTTCTTGCGAAATATTACCTGCGTATTTTAACTGTCATCATGTCTATTTAGCTAATAAAATAGAATGGCAAATTAAATTTTGTGAAATGAAAAATTGAAAAATATTAGCTAGAATGAATTTTCATTTTTGTTTATACTTATTATGCTTAGTTTTTATTAATTAGATTATATGCGAGATCCATAATAAGTCATTATATTTAAACTTTGTTATCACACAACTAAAATGTAATAAGTAATCTAAACACAGCCCCTACTTGTTGATATTTAATAATTAACAAATCTTAAAGCTTTATGAAAACAGCAATAAATATTTTAACAACATAATTGTATACATTACATTTTTTTTAATGTTTGTTAGTTAGTTTGTTAATAATGTGCGTTCCTATTGTGACATTAACGAAAATAAATATAATGCGTCCTAGAACACTTGAAATGATTTTGAAATTTTTGTGTTTTGATTCCTCAAATAATTGACCAAACACGTTGTGGCTTTTCGAGATTACCACCACTCAGAAATCATACTCTGGCATTAGTTAAAACGTTTATAATCCGTTCTGACAAATTTAAAACAACCAAAAGGAGAAATTTGCCGCGTTGATAGCGCCGCATTGTGGTTTCCCTAGTTAGCCCACAATGCGACAGTCCTATTGTGGCACATGCAAAGCCGTCATAGTGCTTTCCAACAATAAACGCTCGATCACGCCGCATTGTGGCTTCTCAAGTTAATCCACAGCGCCATATCCCTGTTACAGCACATGCAAAAATTATCATTGTGCGTTCTGACAAATTGAAAAGAACCACAAGGCGAAACTTGTGATTCATAAAATGTTTGATCAAGCCGCATTGTGGTTTCTTAAGATAATCCGCAATACGGTACCTACCTAGTCTTGTTATGGCACTTGCAAAAATGATCATAGTGCGTTCTGACAAATTGAAAACAACCATAAAATGAAACTTGCGTTGTAATTCATCAAAAGCCACATTGCGGATTTTCAAGTTAATGTATGTAATTTTTCTGTCGTGGCACATGCAAAAATCATCATTGTGGATTCTGACAAACTCAAAAGAACCACCAGGGGAAACTTGTGTTATGTTTGATCAAACCGCATTGTGGTTTCCTACGTGAATCCATAACCTACTCTTATCATGGCACCTGCAAAAACGATCATAGTACTTCATGACAAATTAGAAACAACCACAAAGCGAAAATTGTTTTTTGATTCATGAAACGTTTGATCAAGCCACATTGCGGATTCTGAAGACCCACAACGGAATTCTCCTACTGTGGCACTTACAAAATCGATTATAATGTGTTTTGGAAACCCAAAGAGACAACAATGCAAAATGGATTGTGTTTCTTCAAACATAAATTTGATCAAGACGCGTTGTGGTGGTAAGAACGTTCGGCACAACACTTGATACATATACAGATACAGGAACATTGACTCGCTGCAATAAAATTTAGCGTTCCTAATCTGACCTGTTCTTTCAACAATGCACACTTATCCAGCAAAGGTACGAACAACTAATTTAAACTGGGCACAACATGCAATCCCCAGATTAGCTCATTAACCTTAATGCTGATAAGCACTTTAGTCGATGAGGTCAATATCGAAATCTTGATGACGAGTATTATACTAAATGACTATCAGATGAGACTTTCATATACTGTTTTGGAACCATTTTGTTAATAAAAATAAGAACATTTTCCTAACAATTGTTTTTTGTTGTACCTAGATGTAAGCAATCTAAAAAGGTAATACGTTTATTCATATGATGTAGCAAACTTCATTTGTAAATCTTTTTTTTCTAACGACCCGCTCTCACATATTTAAGCATATGATGGAATCTAGAAGACTGAATAAAAGAACACACCTCTAGGATATCAGCTGACAAGGGAACGTCAAATTTCCACCTTAACTATTCTACTGCCTTTTTCAAACATTGCATTACCTATTACTAACTCTTTCAGAACAGAACGAATCGATTGAAAACCAAAATGTTTACGATACATAAATATATAGAGATCAACGACTGGAGAAGCTTGTCATTTTTCAAAGTCAAATAGTTCTTCTTATTTGTGAAAAAAAATTTAAATTTCTCAACTTTTGAAGGTTTCCTCATAAATAAAACCTCTCACCAAGCTTCATACTATAATGTCAGACGTCTTTTCCCTGGACGGAATTAGATATAGATATATGTAAACTCACCAACTCCATAATTTTCAAAGAAATTTGCCACATCATATATTTTTAGATCTATTACCTAAATAGTCAGTTAACATGTTAATCTAAGTAGCGCTTTGATGTGAGTCAAAGTTGGTACCCAAAAGACTTTGCATGGTATTGAGACTATCTTCTAACGCTTGTGCAAATTTGGACGTACTAGTGATTTGGGATGACCAAAATGACGATAAGCAGAAAACAATACTACTAGATTTTATGTTATAAGACGCTCCATAACCATCCGGTTCAACAGGTCCGTATCCCATGAAACTGTCAATTGATGTTGCAACTTGACTGGTGGTTAAATTGAATCTATTCGCTATACGATATGACTCATCAGTAAAAATTTCGGGTAGAGGATGTGCGGCAGTAGGTGATGTTTCTTTTGCAGCTTCCCTTAGACCCAGTAAGTGGATGTCTATACCTTGGCCCAAAATATTATCCACCATTTCTTGAGTCTGTCTCTCAACCGCCCTTAGCCACAACTTTATTTTTTCTTCATGTGTTACAAGATGGAAAGTTACTTTTTTGTTGTTTGCATCTATGTCGTCTGTATGCTGGAGCATGGCTGAAGCCCATTCCAATGCTTCAACACTAGCGGAACGTATGCAGTCAACCCGACCCAATAAGAAACGCCTGGTAGAAGCACTTTCATATGTAGCAGTTAATTTTCCATACAATTTGTAATAAGCCAATTGCAAAGCTAATTGAACGTAAGCATCAGGGCTGACTTTGCACGATTTCATAAAGTCCTTTCCATAGCCATCAAATCTTAGAACCAAAAAGTCCAAATCTTTGATGAGATTGTCCAGGTATTGGGCGGCTTCTTCTATCTTTTGGAAATCTTCAATTTCCAGACACCATTCTAGCCTTTCTGGAAGGGGCAGATGGTCACATGCAGAAGGAACCTCGGTGTTTATTGGTTGAGATTCGGTATCTTTCAGAATCTTCTCCATCGCTGCTATGATTGCTACTGCTTCCGATGGAGAGTGTTCATAACACAGCCCACACGCACCGTCTCCACTTATTACAATTTGAATTGTTTTGTCGAACCATCTGTTACTTGAATTTTGACTGCTTCCTCCTCCATGGAGCATTTGCAAAGCTAAATTGGTTTCATCTCTGCCTCCGGCAACATGACCCTTTGCACCTCTCTGTACGTGGGAATTGAAATTATTGGAAAGGGCTTCATCTAAGCACAGTACCAGCAAGGCTTTTTCTATTAATTCCATATTCCTTCTATTTCTATCGTTTCTAAGAAGCTTCTGCCTCGCTTCTGCCCATTTTGGTCTCCTCCATCCAGTCAGTATTCCCACTGGAGGTGGCATAGGCAGACATGGGGCGTTATTTAATATATAAAGCAGCTGAGAACAAATCTCGTCTTCACTTAGACAACCTCTATCAGGCGCTTTTAAGACCAAGCAATAAAAGTGGTTCCTACATGTGACGATAATATGTTCTGAAGGTTGTTCCGTTGAAGCCGAAATAAACTGCTTGTCCCTTTTTATACCAGGGATTCTACAAGAAGAAAATAGGCGGTAGTACTGTGCCATGCAGAGCGGCTGACCGGGATTTCTCGATGTTGCACGTTCTAAAGGTAACTGCTTGTTGTCCAGCATAGTCTTATATGCAAGTGCGGCATTTAAAATTCGGGATGTAAACCTAGCGAGGTCTAAAATTGTAGTGAACTTTCTTGGTGGAAAAACCATACCAGGATTTGAGTTGATTGGTAGTGCTGCAGGGTTTCCTAGGTACATATCATTTAGCCAGTATTCGTATGCCTGAAATTAAAAGGTAAAACTAGGGACTGATTTAACGGTAGCACTTTGTCTTAAACAACATTAACACTTGGTAATTTATTGAGTAAACATTCTTAATTTCTTATTTTTTAGATGTAATTGATCATTTTCCTATATCTTTATAAATACACTTTATTTTCTGGATGTAATATGAGTTAGAGTTTTGTTTCAAACTTTCTCCCTAAAATTCTTGTTGATTTTGAGAAAGTAGATGAAAAGGGTATCAAATTGTACGGACTTGGAGTTTTATTTGCTTCAGTACCTTCACAACTTCTTAATTGGATTCAAATTTCATTTTAGAAAACAGTTGAATGCGAGAAACTTTTATAATTAGAAAAACCAACAGCAAGTATAAATAAACGTGAACATTTCAAACAGTATAAAATTAGATGCAGAAGGAATGAACTGAAATGTATTATATATACATAAAAGACCTAAAAATTGTTTATTCTTATTTTGGAAATATGGGGTCAAGGTTATAATTTCATATTAAGCTGGAATTATTATTTTACACCATTCGTAATCTTTTTATTAAAAACAAA